TTGGGTTTGCATCTGATGCTGGTGTCGGTTTTGGGGTCGATGCATAAGAATTTAATTTATTTCATTACAGTACTTCCCTTGGGCGCTGGGATGTTTGACACGTTTATGCCTTGGAGTTCACCGATCACAGGAGTATTGAGTTGACATTCGCCAAGAGAAGGACCTCAAATCCACTTCCCCACCCCAGTGTTCCAGGTTTGTTGTGCCCTGCACCCGCGACCCTAAGACGTAACGCCTATAAGTCCTAACTGCAGCTCCAGCTATGTGGGTGCCAACAAACAATGGCAACCAAATCCCTTTCAACCTTAAACCCTAAACCCTAAACCTGGGTCTTGGGATGAGAGTGGGGTGGGCTTGGCGCTTCGGAGGCAAAGCGCAGATTTCGGACATTTTGCCCCACCCTCTGTGGGGTTGTTAATGTATAAACTCAACTCTTCTCCCCGCCCGGAACTCTTCTCCTCGCCCGGTCTGCTCCTCGCTCATCCCTGGAGTGCCCAACCCCAAAGTGTCCCGGTTCCCTGGAGTGCCCAACCCCAGAGTCTCCCGAGCCTGGAGTTCCGGGTTTAGGGTGGGCTCTTTGTCGGCCAAAACCAGATTTCCCTTCAAAAATGAAGCCTTCTAAGGCCCAATGCTGGATTTGGGGTTTCTAATGACATCTTGAGTTTGGAGGGTCCATACAACTTCTTTTTAATTATTTTACTTCGAACATGGTAGAGATACTCTGGGGTTGGGCACTTTAGGGAGACTCTGGGGCTGGGCACTCCGAGACACTCTGGGTTGGGCACCCCAAACCCTACTCCCCCCCTCCCCACCCTCAACCCTAAACCCCCACACCCCGAACCCTAAGCCCTAAACCCTAAACCCCCGCACCCCGAAGCCCAAACCCTAAGCCCTAAACCCCAAACCCTGGAGGAAGCATCATGGCGGGGATAGCACCGCCGTACAGGAGCAGCTCCATGACGTCACGTGCATCCAGGCGCTTCTGAGAGCTTGACTAGGACCCAGAGTGGGGCCCTGAATGACCTGATTTCCCCTTGTAGGGTTGGGTTCACTCAAAAGCAATGACCCTAAACCCTAAACCCTAAAACCTAAAACCTAAACCCTAAACCCTAAACCCTAAACCCTAAACCCTAAACCCTAAACCCTAAACCCTAAACCCTGCAAAGCCGGAGTCTCTCTCGGCCCTGGGAGGTTGGGTTTTTTTTGAGTTTCCAGCTCGAGGCTTTCGAGCTCCGGTCCTTCCTCGGGTTTAAAGTTTAGGGTTTCGGGCTTTAGGGGTTTAGGGGTTTGGGGGTTTAGGGGTTTAGGGGCTTAGGGGTTTAGGGGTTTAGGGGTCTAGGGTCGAGGGTCTAGGGTTTAGGGTTTCTGGCCTCTCTCTCTCTCTCTCTCTCTCTCTCTCTCTCTCTTTCTCTTCATACCTGGCCTTGTTCCTGTCCCTTGCCAGGCTTCCATGGGCGCATTTGCCGCCATTCGTTCGGATGGCTCCGTGGTGACGTGGGGTCACCTCTCCTGCATGCAGTTTAGGATTCAGATTCTTTAATCCTTCCACGGAGTGTTCGGCGTTGCCCTTCATAGCGGGACAGGGCCCATGTCCGGAACTTGGCATGGGTCGTGAGTAGCTATAAGCTAAACCCTAAACCCTAAACCCTAAACCCTAAACCCTAAACCCTAAACCCTAAACCCTAAACCCACGAACGTCAGCTTTCGATCAGGCAGTTTGACGTGTGGTTCTGAGGTCCGCCATCTCTGGGCGGCGACAGCTCGTACGTGAAGGAGCAGCTGGGAAGATCCAAGGCGGGCTTTTTCCTTGGAACCTCGCCCGGGCGGATGGTGTTGTCATATACAAATTAAAATATTAATATACATATATGTATACATATGTGTAGATTCTTGTTTTATACTTGTAGATGTATATATATATATATATATTAAATACTGCCTATAGTCTCTGTAGGGTATGTTTTTCCGTCTAAACCCTAAACCCTAAACCCCTTCCAGGAAGATGATGAGGCCGAGAAGAGGGCCAAGGCCAAGGCCCGTGCCCAAGCCAAGGCCAAAGCCAAGGCCAAGGCAAAGGCAAAAGCCAAGCCCAAGGCTACAGCGAAGCCCAAGGCGAAAGCCAAGGCCAAGGCCAAAGCGAAGCCCAAGGCCAAAGCCAAGGTTAAGGCCAAGTTGAAGGTCTTGAAGAAGCCCTCCAAGAAGTAGCCCGTAGAACGCAGCCGCTTCTGCGCAAATGCCGCGCGTTTCGAGTCTGTGCCGGGCCTGTACAGCTTGGGCCCTTCGTTCTGAAAGTTCGGTCCCTACAGCCGCCAGCCAGCACAATTCATCTGAGCAAGAAGACCTGCCATGAGCCTTCATTAATATGTGGCGACATCCTTTTTGAACCTCCGTGTGTGCGCCAGTGTATGTGAAATGTCTGGACTTGGACCTTCTTGCGTAGATGACGAGGGAGCAGTGCTGAGAACACAGCCCGACACCTCGTTTGCCGAGCTGCTTGTTGAGCAGCGACTCATATGGGTATCTCCCCACCCTCTCATATACCTCAAATCATCCAAATTATTGTACTTCTTCTTGGTAGGAACCAAGTCCAGGGTACCCCTATTCTGGGAATGTACCCATATCCTGTACATTGGCATGTGCCTCAGTGTCAAAGGAAGCTGGGATGAGTCTCCATGCGATAATTCAGGCTGTGCGGCCTAAAGCCCTAAGCCCAAAAGCCTCGCATGTTTACAGGGCATTGGGCCCAAAAGTAGTAAACACAGGGAGGCAGAATGCTTCCGAGATCCATCGCGAACGAGCCACAGAGCCTCGCAACAGAAAGACTTTGCCGGCGTCTCCTGGTCTGGTTTGACATGTTGGAGGTTGAGAGCCGGGACTTGCACAGTTTTTTCCATCTTCTACGTAACTAGCGCGATGAAGCTGAAACGCCCGTAGGGTGTATGGCATGCCCGAAGGTGGAGGTTCTACTCGGCTTTAAACATTGATGACCCATAGGCCTTCTAGGGTGCGGTGGGCAGGACTCCAGCCTTGTTGTCGGCTGCTTAGCAAGAGTCGTTGTGAGCTCAACTTGGGGGATCCGAGGGCCAACGCTGCTGCCCTTAAACAGACTCTCGGTTAAAAACATGCTGGGCAGCTGTCAACCCGGAACACCAAACCCCAAACTATCCGGCCTTGCTTTAGCATCTTCTTCACTTCGTTCTGGGCAAAAGGGTACAAAGTAGAACCTTAACGGCCAGAACAAGTCTTGTGAGCTTGGGTTCTGCTACGGCATCCAGGCCTCTCAGTAAGGGACCCCCCCCCCCCCCCCAAATAGTGGGATCCCCTAAAAAACCTGGACCCCATTCAGGTACCCCTCTCATCGTAAACCCCCATAGGGTTATGGGTTTAGGGTTTAGGGATTAGGGTTTAGGGTTAGGGTTCCAGTCTGAGGGCTCCAGTGCCCATTCTGGCGACAGGTTTTGTCGGATGGCCTCTGGGCATTGGCGATGACCCGCACGCTGCCCAATCCTGTGATGAAGGTGCGGGCAGGGTTTTAGGGTTTAGGGTTTAGGTCGAGTCATAGGCACTGTGGCGTGGGAGCGGGCTGGGCAGAAAGGGCAGCAGTCGAAAAAGGGTTTAGGGTTAGGGTTTTGGGTTTTGGGTTTTGGGTTTTAGATTCAACAAGCCAACAAAAGACAGCGAACTGATGAAGGTGCGGGTGTCTGCAGGGTTTTGTCTTTTTGGGGCATTGGGCGTTTTGTTTTGTTTTTGGTTTTTGGCTTTAGGGTCTTCGAGCTTACTTATACCCCTATAAAAAAGTTTGATAACGCCATAAGCCCTATAGAGGCCCAGGGTTCAGAATCTTAAGGCTCAGGACTGGTGCTAGGGTTCATAGGGTTTAGGGTCGGTCGAGGGTCTAGGGTTTCGGGTTTAGGGTGTAGGGTGTCTGCTGCGGGGTGCTTCACAAATTGGGGCCGACTCGTGTGCACTGTGACATGTCGTGTCATCTTGACTCTATTAAACTCCGAGCCCTAAGCCCCATAAACCATACTCAGGAACCCTCTTTGAGTAGGCACATGGTCCCTTAGTATGGTCCCTTACCTTCTTTAATGAAGTAAGGGCCCTTGATAAGGTATTTATGAGGGGCCCCTTTCGCAGGGCCCATACTAAGGACCATGTAAGCCCCATCAGAAAGCACCCCCAAATCATGAAGCCAGACACCTCATGAAGCCCCACTCCGCACCCCAGATAACAGAAGCACTAAACCCTAGACCTTTAAAACAAATCTAATCCCTAAAGCCCTCAAACCCTAAACCCTAAACCCTAAACCCTAAACCCTAAACCCTAAACCCTAAACCCTAAACCCTAAACCCTAAACCCTAACCTCACAAAGCAATCTGGGAGGGCTTGGCTGGCAAGCTCCTGGGTCGGCTCAGCGAGCGCCCGGTCAGCGAGTTCACCGCGCACAACACGCGCCTTGCGCCGGTTTTCGGAGGGAAATGGGGTCTTGGGCTTTTAGGTTTTTTGGGCTTAGGGTGTAGGGGTTTAGGGTTCAGGGTTTAGGGTTTGCGGCGTCGGGTTTAGGGTTTAGGGCAGAGAACAAAAGAAAGGTTTACAGGACGGCAGGGAACTACTCCCCCAGCATTCGGGAAGCCCCGGGCTCAGAAAAGGGTTTATTTCAGGGTATCCGGACCCTGAATCATATTCCCCTATGTAACCAGATATAACCCTATACCGACCTTACATAGCGCCTTTACACCAAAGTACGAGTAGCCCGGAAAGAACCCCTCAAATCCCTCATACGGGTCCCTCCGGTAGTCCCTTGAGTTTAGGGTTGTTAGGGGTCAGCTTGAGCCTGAAAGAGGCCAGCTGCACTCAAATTAAGACAGCACAATCTTGTGTGTTCCTTGAAACCTGCAAGTCCCAGAAATCTAAACCCACAGAAACCTCTCTCTTTAGAGCCCTAATGATGCTGCGCAGATATCGTGTGACTGAGGTACTCGATGATGTACTCGATCGCCATGCTGCAGGTGCATCGAATGTCAGGCTTAAAGCGTTTACTGTAGTGTTTAAGGGCGCAGCCGGGTTGGGGCAGGCTGGCCGGGGAAGCTCCAAAAAACATCAAAATGTGAAAGCCCCTGTGAGATCTGGACGCTAGAGCCCAGATCGGTGTAAGACCCTTGTCCTTGACTTCAGCCTTAGCAAGAGGCCAGGGACAGACGAGGTCGCCAGGTGTTTATATACATGCGCAAGCATGCGCAAAAAACTCACTTTGTTCAACCTTGTTCTATCTAACATGCACAACATGTGTGTACACATATATATATATATACATATATATATATATTATACATATACATGTATAACACATATAGCACATAGAACATGTATAATTAACATACAATATATATATATATATATATATATATATATATATATATACATATGTATACATATATAGAGAAACATGCAATTATAGGTATCCTCAGGCTCTTTCCGTTCGGCACTATTCCCACTGCGGCCGGCAGGAGACCTGCACACACGCGGAGGCGCGATCTCTGCTACCCAAGCTGCTGGAAGCGTGGGAGCTCACCGCTGAGAACATGACCGAGGGAAGGGGGAGGGGAGGAGGGGAGAGGAGGCGCCTTACAAAAGGTTTAGGGTTTAGGGTTTAGGTTTTAGGGTTTATGAGGTTTAGGGTTTAGGGTTTGGGGTTTAGGGTTTAGGGTAGAACTTGGAGGCTGGACGTTGCCGGTGGCAGAAGACTGCTGAAACCATAACCAGCACACTCAACTTGAACCCTACACCCAATAAGCCCCTGGTGACAGTCGGCAAAGAGAGCCTAAACCTCGAACCCTAAGGCGCTTCACAAAAGAGTTTTTTTTTGTAATTGTCACTGGCTTTCGGGGATACTAAGTCGACTTACGACGTCAAAAGAGCTTCTAGGAGTTTGTAGCTTCGCCTCACTCGCAGGACACCGAAACAGATCTCCGGCTGTCTTTGGGCCCTCGGTTGGCTGGATCCTGGGGCGAAGGACAGCCGAGGCTGGGTGAATCGGTTTAGGTTAGGGTTTAGGGTTTAGGGTTTAGGGTTTAGGGTTTAGGGTTTAGGGTTTAGGGTTTAGGGTTTAGGGTTTAGGGTTTAGGGTTTAGGGTTTAGGGTTTAGGGTTTAGGGTTTGTAGCACTGGGAGCCTGTGCTTGGGCAGTTTCTGGCAGCACCCACGGGAGTCCGGATGCAAAAGGGTTTAGGGTTTAAGGTTTAGGGTTTAGGGTTTAGGGTTTAGGCGGGGATGAGGGTTTTTCGGTTTTACACGGTTGGGGCGCAGTGTGTTTTATTTGTAGATGCGCCTTCAGAGGACAAAGCACCTTCGCAGCCCATGTGTGCTCTGTGCTGTTGCGTTGGAATCATTCAGATTCGAAGACTGTCTATGGAGGGAGCTCAGGTGAGCCACTTGAATGATAATGTTTCCTGTTCTAGGGACATATACGGCTTGACGGTGCTTCCTTGTTATGACGCTGCTTCTGACATGGTAACTTAGCTTACTGTTCAGCAGAAATCCAGGTCAGGCACAAGCAATCTCAACCGAAACGAGCCTCGACAAAAGCAGGTTTTGTTTCTCCAATCTTAAAGGTCCAAGCAAACACATTTCTCGGCCCTGACGATCTCGTTGTTCATCGCTTTTCTTCCTGCAACGGTGTTGCGAGGTGCTAAGAGTCAAGAATGACCCGTCGTGGCACCATGCATATCTTAACGCGTGCGAAGGAAGCTTGCCGGCTCCAATAGTGCTCCGTTTCTACTAATGCTTAAGAACCCCGAACAAACAACAGATATTCTTCCTTATTAAGGGTATTATGGGGGTTTATTATTATTATTCTTTTGGGGTTCTTAAGCAAATAGTCAAATAGCAGGTTTCAGAATTTCAGTCAAAGAGAAGTCTCGACATATCGCCAGGTGCCTTGGTGAGCGTGCGGAATGAGGCCCGGGCTTATGGGGGGATGGGCTGAAGGTTTAGGGTTTAGGGTTTAGGGTTTAGGGTTTAGGGTTTAGGGTTAGGTTTAGGGTTCAGGGTTCAGGGTTTAGGGTTTAGGGTCTAGCGTCCAAAAAGAACCCTCTGAGCAACCAATTCTGCCATGGCTTCGGGCCTTGAGTCTGGGCGCCCAATCACGAAAAGTAGACCCCACTCCCTGCCCGCAGATTGCCTTCGCGCTGGCGGAGATGAGGATGAAGGAGCTGCCTCTTGGCTTGCGTTCTGGCGCTCACGGGTGTAGGAACTGCTAGCACATACTTGGAGGTTCAGGGTAACCCAATTATAAGTGTAGATATACCCCACTTGTGAACCCCCTAAGTACCCTAGTAGGGTTATAATTGGCTGATAGGTACAGTTAGAGTCTAGAGTTGGGTTGCGAAGTACCTGAAATCTCAAGTATCCTAGGTCGGATAAGGGGGACCCTGAAAAAGGAAACCCTCCTTAACCTTCTTCTGGCTCTCTTAACCAGGGACCTTGTTGAGAGGCTCTAAATATCTCCAAGGGTACCCCTCATCCTGTCTTATCCCCTAACATAAGCAGCTCCCTCTTGGACACAGCTCACATGGATTCCGGGTTCCAGTGCGCCAGTGAGGGCGCAGGACGTCGACATTTGTGGCTTTGGGATCTAGACAAGGAGCTTTTTTGCAGATGCCTCCTAACGACGCTGCGGACGTTCCCTAGCCAGGTACCATGACAAACTAGCTGCAATTTGGAGCTTTTGGCCTAGCTGAGTAGGGTGATCCTAAAGGTCTCCCCCACGCAGGCCCATGGTCCGCAAACCCAAAGAGGGTTTAGGGTTTAGGGTTTAGGGTTTGGGTATAGGGTTTAGGGTTCAGGGTTTAGGGTTTAGGGCTCAGGGTCTGCAGCTACAAGTCCTAACCCCTACGCCCCTATGTCATGAACTTAGGCGGGTAGCAACAAAACACAAAAGCAACACAAGCTTGAACCCCAAAAGCCCTAATTAATCCTGAAGCCACAATCTTAAACCTCCTAACGCCTCGAAACCCCTAATACTCCATGAACTTAAAACCTACACCCTCTACTCCTACAGCCTCAAACCCCTATAAAGCCCTCAAGCCCTCGGCATCTCAAGTAGCCCAGCAAGCCCACAAGGTCGGAAGGGCTGTGGGGCTTTGCAGCCTTGGAGTTTGGAGACCAGGAGGGCTCTTTGGGGTTGTTGTTGGAATTTAAGGTTTAGTTTGTGTTTGTTTTTCTCATTTGTTTTTTCTCATTTTTTTTGGTGGGGGGGGGGGGACCTGGATCATTGTCGGTTTTGAGATTTGTAGGGTTTAGGGTGGTTTAGCGTTAACGGTTTTCTGCTTCGGAAGCTAGGTCGCAGGATTTCGGGTACTTGCAAACAGACTAGTCTAGTCGGTTTAAGCTGATTGAGGCTGCTACTGTTACTCTACCTTTCGAAGTTGGAGGTGTTTGCCACGTTCTCTGTCACGTGGACGGTTGTGTTTGCTTAAACCCAAAGCCCTAACTTCTTGCCTAGGATACTGCTGGTTTTGACGACTTTGACAACTGGCTGAAGCCTCACATGGCTTTCCACACCCCACACGGGCCTCTACAAGCCGTAAACCTCCAAAACCCTATGGCCTGGAGTCATGAAGCTTGGGGGGGAAGGCTTGGGGTTTAGGGAGTAGGGGTTGGGTTTAGAGGGTTATAGGGTTTTTGGTTTAGGGTTTACAGGGTTTGGCATTTCCAGATTTGTCGCCTCTGCTGCTCCCTGTCGGGTGGTTGGCTTGGTTTCAAACTCCACTCCACGATTGGACAAGAAGCTTCTTCTCAGATCCTTCTTACCTGAACTGCAAGAATTCTGCCGAGCCTTGTTGATCTGTAATACCGTCCTACTTCCACACCTCACCTTTCAGGGTTGTGGCTAAATATTTGGGGGTTTACGATAATAAGAGGCCCCTAATCTTTCCTTCTAATAAGAACCGCAATAAGGTACCCCCCCCCCCCCCCATTTTCGGAAAACCCCCATTCAGCCGCAGTGCCGTGTGCGCCTGACTGGCGGCCACTTGTGCTCAAGCCACAGCGCATGCGATCACGCCTTGCGCGTCTGCCGCGGCGCGCTGTCACTCGGCTTATTAGGGTTTTGGGTTTTGGGGTTTTGGGGTTTTGGGGGGGGGGGGGGGGGCTTAAGTATGGTACGTTATCTAAGTAGGACAGCCGCAGTGCAAGTACATGTATCTCTGCTTAGAACTAGTCGTGAATCCTCGAGTTCCGGTCGTTTGGCTACGTGTGCAACCTAGGTTAGCGTGCACATTGGTCAACTTGCCTGCCCTGTCACAAGCCTAGTTGCCAAAGCAGCCTGAAATGTGGAGAACTACCCTATGCTCGCAACCCTTATCTATAGAGGGCAGAACTGCCCTGTACCACTGTGGCCAGACGAACCTCAAAATTGGGGTCATGTACCCTGTTCTACTTGATTCCCTTCCTAGGGTGTATGACCATTTGGGGGGGTTCATTTTGTCCCTCATACAACCCTGCCAAGGCCGAGCAGGGGGAAAACCCACACCTTAGGTACCTGAAGGTTCATTTACTAGGGCTAGGATTCTACCAGATGTAGGCCAACTGTAGTAACGTTAACCTTACTTAAGCCGTAGTTATTCCTATACTGAAGATCCATGCAACCCTCGCTAGAACCTACCAGCACTGACCCCCTTAGGATTATTTGTATTCTTCAGTCATGTTTTTGGGGTCTCTGCTTAAGGTTTCCCACTGACAAAGACGGAGAGTCCCATTCCAGAGGCCCGGCGGATATCGGCCATGACCGCCATGGAGCACCTGGGCGCTTAGGGATTAGGGTTTAGGGTTTAGGGTTTAGGGTTTAGGGTTTCGGGCTCCAGGGGCGACGACTCCAGGCGAGCTCTTGCAAAAGGGTTTAGGGCTCACAGGCCAAAGATCCCAGGAGCTCGGTTTGGGGTTTAGGGTTTAGGGTTTAGGGTTTAGGGTTTAGGGTTTAGGGTGCAAGGTTTCAGGGATTGCTCGCCGAGGCCTGGATGCAAAAGGGTTTAAGGCTTCTCTGACTGCCTCTTTTCGGGAGATAGCTACTAGGCTAACTGCGAACTTCACACTTCTTTTCGGGAGAGGTTTGTCCTTTCTACGCTTTCTTTCTTGCCTGCCAAGTGTCAACCCCCAAAACCCTCTAACTCCACCGACTCAGAAACCTACACCCAGCAACTTAAAAAGCAACCTGCTCACCAGGGGCGGGACTCGCATACTGACCATTCTGAGCCCAGGCTCTTTTCCGAGAAGCAGCTCTCCGAGCCCCCATTTAACCAGGCCTGGATTTGCTGGAGGATTCAGGGAGGGTTTTGGGGGGGATATTTTTTGGGGGGGGGGGGGGGTGTGCAGCTTAAATAGGGTCTATTTGGAAGCTGAGACTCGTGTTTTAAAGAGGAAATAAGGCCCCAAAACGTATACTTATTTACAAGAGACAACTTCCAAATAGACCCTATTATCGTTTCTGGGGGGTCTGGGGCAAGGAATTAAATAATTTAAATAGTTTAAATAATTTAAATCCGAAAAGGGGGGGGGAGCAGCAGGACCAGGCCCCTCCCCCTCCAAGAATTAAATAATTTAAATCCGAAAAGGGGGGGGGCCAGGCCCCACCAGGCCCCCTCCCCCTCTCAGAATTAAATAATTTAAACAATTTAAATCCGAAAGGGGTGTTCAGGATTTAAATTATTTAAATTATTTAATTCTGGGAGGGGGAGGGGGCCCGGTGGGGCCTGGCCCCCCCCTTTTCGGATTTAAATTATTTAAATTATTTAATTCCAGGGGTGGAATTAAATAATTTAAATAATTTAAATCTGAAAGGGGGGGTTCGGATTTAAATTATTTAGATTATTTAATTCCACCCCCGGAATTAAATAATTTAAATAATTTAAATAATTTAAATCCGAACAGGGGGGGGGGGCAGGCCCCACCAGGCCCCCTCCCCCTCCCAGAATTAAATAATTTAAATAATTTAAATCCGAAAGGGGTGTTCAGGATTTAAATTATTTAAATTATTTAAATTATTTACATTATTTAAATTATTTAAATTATTTAAATTATTTAAATTATTTAATTCCGGGGGTGGAATTAAATAATTTAAATAATTTAAATCCGAACCCCCCCTTTCAGATTTAAATTATTTAAATTATTTAATTCCACCCCTGGAATTAGCTAATTTACATAATTTAAATAATTTAAATAATTTAAATAATTTAAATAATTTAAATAATTTAAATCCGAAAAGGGGGGGGGCCAGGCCCCACCGGGCCCCCTCCCCCTCCCAGAATTAAATAATTTAAATAATTTAAATCCTGAACACCCCTTTCGGATTTAAATTATTTAAATTATTTAATTCTGGGAGGGGGAGGGGGCATGGTGGGGCCTGGCCCCCCCCCCTTTTCGGATTTCAATTATTATTTAAATTATTTAAATTATTTTAGAAATTATTTAAATTATTTAAATTATTTAATTCCGGGGGGGAATTAAATAATTTAAATAATTTAAATCCGAACCCCCCCTTTCAGATTTAAATTATTTAAATTATTTAATTCCCCCCCTGGAATTAAATAATTTAAATAATTTAAATAATTTAAATAATTTAAATGATTTAAATCCGAAAAGGGGGGGGGGGGGCAGGCCCCACCGGGCCCCCTCCCCCTCCCAGAATTAAATAATTTAAATAATTTCAATCCTGAACACCCCTTTCGGATTTAAATTATTTAAGTTTTTTAATTCTGGGAGGGGGAGGGGGCCTGGTGGGGCCTGGCCCCCCCCCCCTTTTTGGATTTAAAATATTTAAACTATTTAAGTTATTTAAATTATTTAGTTCCGGGGGGTGAATTAAATAATTTAAATAATTTTAATCCGAACCCCCCCTTTCAGATTTAAATTATTTAAATTATTTAATTCCCCCCCTGGAATTAAATAATTTAAATAATTTAAATCCGAAAAGGGGGGGGGCCAGGCCCCACCGGGCCCCCTCCCCCTCCAAGAATTAAATAAGTTAAATAATTTAAATACTGAACACCCCTTTCGGATTTAAATTATTTAAATTATTTAAATCTGGGAGGGGGAGGGGGCCTGGTGGGGCCTGGCCCCCCCCCCCCCTTTTCGGATTTAAATTATTTCAATTATTTAGATTAATTAATTCCGGGGGGGAATTAAATAATTTAAATAATTTAAATCCGAACCCCCCCTTTCAGATTTAAACTATTTAAATTATTTAATTCCCCCCCCTGGAATTAAATAATTTAAATAATTTAAATAATTTAAATCCGAAAAGGGGGGGGGGCCAGGCCCCACCGGGCCCCCTCCCCCTCCCAGAATTAAATAATTTAAATAACCTAAATCCTGAACACCCCTTTCGGATTTAAATTTTTTAAAATATTTAATTCTGGGAGGGGGAGGGGCCTGGTCCTGCTGCTCCCCCCCCCCCCTTTTCGGATTTAAATTATTTAAATTATTTAAATTATTTAAATTATTTAAATTATTTAAGTCCGGCGGGGGAATTCAATAATTTAAATAATTTAAATCCGAACCCCCCCTTTCAGATTTAAATTATTTAAATTATTTAATTCCCCCCTCCGGAATTAAATAATTTAAATTATTTAAATAAGTTAAATAATTTAAATCCGAAAAGGGGGGGGGCCAGGCCCCACCGGGCCCCCTCCCTCTCCCAGAATTAAATAATTTAAATAATTTAAATCCTGAACACCCCTTTCGGATTTAAATTATTTAAATTATTTACTTCTGGGAGGGGGAGGGGGCCTGGTGGGGCCTGGCCCCCCCCCCTTTTCGGATTTAAATTATTTAATTTATTTACATTATTTAAATTATTTAATTCCGGGGGGGGGGAATTAAATAATTTAAATAATTTAAATCCGAACCCCCCCTTTCAGATTTAAATTATTTAAATTATTTAATTCCCCCCTGGAATTAAATAATTTAAATAATTTAAATAATATAAATCCGAAAAGGGGGGGGGCCAGGCCCCACCGGGCCCCCTCCCTCTCCCAGAATTAAATAATTTAAATAATTTACATCCTGAACACCCCTTTCGGATTTAAATTTTTTAAATTATTTAATTCTGGGAGGGGGAGGGGGCCTGGTGGGGCCTGGCCCTTTCGGAATTAAATTATTTAAATTATTTGATTCTGGGAGGGGGGGGGCCTGGGGCTGCCCGGCAAAATTTGGCCAAAGCGAGGCGCGATAGTTTAAATAATTTTCGGGCCTCCAGAAAGGCGCGGCTCGATTTGGCCAAATTTTGCCGGGCAGCCTCCGGGCAAGATTTGGCCAAATCGAGCCGCGCATTTCTCATCGCATACGAAGGGCAGCCCGATTTGGCCAAATTTTGCCCGGAGGCTGCCCGGCAAAATTTGGCCAAATCGAGCCGCGCCTTTCTGGAGGCCCGAAATTATTTAAACTATCGCGGCTCGATTTGGCCAAATTTTGCCGGGCAGTCTGCGGGCAAAATTTGGCCAAATCGGGCTGCTCGTCGTACGCGATGAGAAATGCGCGGCTCGATTTGGCCAAATTTTGCCCGGCAAAATTTGGCCAAATCGGGCCCCTGGACATTGAAATGAAATTGATTTTTTAAATTCCCCGATACTAAATCACGAGCCCGGGCCTCCCCCTCAATACTAAATTACGAGCCCGGGTCTCCCTTCTCTTCTCTTGTTCTCTTTTAAATCTCAAATCACACCAAAGGAAGCTTCTTTTCCTTATTGAATTAAAATGAAAAAGAAGAAAAGAGATAGGTAAAGACACTGAAGAGCTCCACTGCCTATTGTTTCATTCCTTTTCCTCTCTTTCTATGTGTTGTTTTCCTTGTCGTTTCAGAAAGCTAGCAAAATAAGGGCAAGGGGGCTTCCTGAAGAGGAGAGAGGGCACCTATTTTTTTAATTATAGAGGGAAAAGCGAGAGACAAGGAAGGGACAGATGATAGATAAAGAAGAGTGCTATCCGTCTCCTTGTTTCTTGTGTCTTCTCTTCTTTTCAGTTCATCATATCCCTCTTTTCGGCCTGTCTCTTCTGCTCTTTTCCTTACCCTTCTCCTTTTCAAGTTCTTCCTTTTTCGTTTTTCTGTTTCGAAAAGAAAGAGGGAAAGGCCAGAGAAGGGAGAGAGGATAGATAAAGAAGAGTGCCATTTTCTTTGCGCCTTGTTTTGTCTCTCCATCTTCTTTGTTCATCTCTCTTTTCTATTCTTTTCTTGGCTCTTCCCATTAGAATTGTTTTCCTTTTATCTCTCCTCTCTCCTTCTCTTTCCCTTCTCTTCTCCTGTTCCCCTTTAAATGACAAAAACACGAGAAAGGAAGAACAAGAGAGGAATGGAGGCCCTTTTCCTGAATTCTCCTGTTGCAATGAATAAGGAAAAGAGCATAGGAGATAAGGAAGGGAATTGTGGGCGATGGAACGGGTGTCCTTTTTGATAGTTTTCTGCATCTTCAAGGAAGAAAAAAGGACACCCGCCCAAGAAGGAAAAGTAGCGTAAGAGATAGGGAGGAAATTGAAAAGCTCCTCTCTTTACCTAGTCATTCCCTGTCCTCTCTTCTTATTTGTTGTTTTTCTTATTCGCTTCAAAAACAACATAACAAAATAAGGGAAAGGCGATTTCCTGAAGAGGAAGAAGGGCGCCTACCTGTGAATAGCAAGATTGATTTTTTCTAATTAGGGAGAGACTTGCCCCGCCTGAGCCTCCCTGGCCTGCTTGTTGTGGCCACATTCCGGTACAGTTGCGCTTCCAGAAAAATGGCATCCTTGTTATCTCCTCTCACTTCCCTTTCCCTTCTCTCCTTCTGTTTCCTTCTGACTGATAAACCACAAGAAAGGAACTTGTATGATAAGGCAGTGGAAGGGTAAGCAGAGGGTGACTCCTGGCGCGTGGACCGGTCCATACTTCATCATACCCCTCCTCTCGGCCTATCTCTTCTGTTCCTTTCCTTACCCTTCTCCTTCTCATAGTTCTTCCTTTTTGTTTTCTTATTTCGAAAAGAAAGATGGCAGGGAGAGATAAGGAAGAGAGGATAGATAAAGAGTGAGTGCCATCTTCTCTGCGCCTTGTTTTGTCTCTCCATCTTCTTTGTTCATCTCTCTTTTCTATTCTTTTTCTTGGCTCTTCCCATTAGAATTGTGTTCCTTTTATCTCCTCCTCTCTCCTTCTCTCTCCCTTCTCTTCTCCTGTTCCCCTTTAAATGACAAAAACGCAAGAAAGGAAGAACAAGAGGGGAATGGAGGCCATGTTCCTTTCTTTTCCAATGGATGGGGAAAGTGAGCGGGGTTGGCTCCTTGTCCGTAGACCCTCCCCACGCTGCAGCAAATCCCTCCTCTCGCCCTATCGCCTCTGTTCTTTTCCTTGTTCCCAAACGGAAAAAGAAAATGGGTTCCTTTACATGTTCATTGTTCTTCCTTTTGTTTTTTATTTAAAAGGGAAAGATAAGAAAGAGAGGAAAGAAGAAAACGAGCACCATCTTCTCTTTGCCTGATTTTGCACCTCCCTCTCCTGTCTTCATTTCTCTTCCATGATTTTCATTGCTCTTCCCATGAAAACTGTTTCCTTTTGATCTCTCCTCTCTCCTTTCTCTCTCCCTTCTCTTCTCTTGTTCTCTTTTGAATCTCAAAATCACACCAAAGGAAGCTTCTTTTCCTTATTGAATTAAAATGAAAAAGAAGAAAAGAGATAGGTAAAGACACTGAAGAGCTCCACTGCCTATTGTTTCATTCCTTTTCCTCTCTTTCTATGTGTTGTTTTCCTTGTCGTTTCAGAAAGCTAGCAAAATAAGGGCAAGGGGGCTTCCTGAAGAGGAGAGAGGGCACCTATTTTTTTAATTATAGAGGGAAAAGCGAGAGACAAGGAAGGGACAGATGATAGATAAAGAAGAGTGCTATCCGTCTCCTTGTTTCTTGTGTCTTCTCTTCTTTTCAGTACCCCTCCAGAAAATTCAAATGGCCTCCTTGTTGTCTTTCCTCTCTCACTTCCCTTGCCCTTCTCTCCTTCTGTTACCTTTTAACTAATATAACACAAGAAAGGAACTTGTATGATAAAGCAGTGGAAGGGTAAGCAGAGAGTGACTCCTTGCGCGTGGACCTTGCCCATACTTCATCATATCCCTCTTTTCGGCCTGTCTCTTCTGCTCTTTTCCTTACCCTTCTCCTTTTCAAGTTCTTCCTTTTTCGTTTTTCTGTTTCGAAAAGAAAGAGGGAAGGGAGAGAGAAGGGAGAGAGGATAGATAAAGAAGAGTGCCATTTTCTTTGCGCCTTGTTTTGTGTCTCCATCTTCTTTGTTCATCTCTCTTTTCTATTCTTTTCTTGGCTCTTCCCATTAAAATTGTCTTCCTTTTATCTCTCCTCTCTCCTTCTCTTTCCCTTCTCTTCTCCTGTTCCCCTTTAAATGACAAAAACACAAGAAAGGAAGAACAAGAGGGGAATGGAGGCCCTTTTCCTGTATTCTCCTGTTGCAATGAATACAGAAAAGAGCATAGGAGATAAGGAAGGGAATTGAGGAGCTCCTTTCGCTACTTTCTTATGCCCTTTCCTTTGTATCTACCACACAAAAACACCACTCTCAGCTTCCAAGAATACTCTCGTGGAGACGCATTGGTTAGTCTAAAAACCCGAGTCTCAGCTTCCAAATAGACCCTATTTAAGCCACCCACGGGGGGGGGGGGGGGGGGGGGGGGTTCTATGGTGGTCTCGGGCTGCAAATTTTTTTTGAAGGTCTGTGAGGAAGTTTGGGAGTTTTCGGCGCTGCGTGGGATTTAGGGCCGAAGGTTGGCTGATACCCGGGGCGGTGCTCTGCAACGCTTTTTGAATCGTTCGCGCACAAAGCCCTCAGAGCCAGGAAGCCCACTCTCCCAAATGTTGCGCATGGCTTGCAAGCCAAGTGCCACGCCCCAGGCTCACATGTTCGAGGGCCTTTCGGACGAGCAGAAGCAGGGCATCATCCGGGACTGCACAGTTGGCACCATAGTTAGAACCAGCACAATCCCTAGTCAAGCTTCATATGGATAGTTCTGACTCTAAATTTGGTAAGGACCCGAAAAAGGGACCATAGTTTGGAGAACCACCCATATGTACCAGAACCCAAAGCAGCAATATTCCGCGAGGACCTCGACGAGTTGGACGGAAAGCTGCCCGGAGGAGGCCCTCAAAAAAGAAGTACTTGACAGCTCGGGATCCAGGTTTTGTTGGAGGCTTCCGGGTGTGAGTTTTTGAAGGCAAGTGCAGGTGGTAAAGTTGCCACTGCAAGAAGCTAAGCCCTAAACCTCAAAACCCTACACCGAGAAGAGTACCAAGTCGAAAGCCTAAATTTTCTAGCCCAAAGCCTAAAGCCTGGACCCAACAAATCCCCGAGCAAGTCATCTGGGTTGAGCACAACTCGGTCCTAGTCACAACCCTAAACCCTAAACCCTAAACCAAGCTTCATTGAGTCCTGCGAGGTCTCAAGGGCTACTTGGAGCGGGCACGGACACTCCTAGCAGACTCCAAGTCTGGAAAGCTGCTGTGCCGAGCTAGCCGGTTGAGAGTGTAGGGTTTAGGGTTTCGGCTTTAGGGTTTAGGGTTTAGGGTGGTTAAGGGTTTAGGGTTTTACATTACAATGGGTATCGGAGTCGTCTACAGGAGATCTCTTACATGTAGAACCATGGTTCAGCAAACACATTGTGCTTGCCTTGTCGGGGGGCGTCTGAAGATGCATTTGAAATGCGGCTCGGGCCAGCTGACTGCAAGGTTTGGTCAGTGATATTTGAAGACTCGACATTGACAGTTATTTGCATCCACGCCATGTGGTGTGAGGCCCTCTGCAAGAGTAGCCTAAGCTCAGCAACCAATGAAACTTGGCCCTCCCTGGCCCTACGCCGCAAGCCTGAACTTCTCAGCCCTATTCGCCCCTTAGTGACCCAACCCCGGCTATGAACACATAAAACCGCGTCAAACCCTAAACCCTAAACCCCAAACCCTAAACCCTAAACCCTAAACCCCAAACCCAAAACCCTGCAGCCGAGGAACCCTTTTGAGGGCCTGACGCCCGAAGTTCCGGGCGGCGAGCGGCTCACAGGTCGACCTTCTGAACTGCCCTTGTTAGTCAAGGGGCAGAGTGCAACTAAGTCTTGCTCACAATCTAGATTTCCTAGGTAGGATTCGGGGGACCCCTAGAAGGGAGCCCCTTCTGAACCCTCTTCTGGCTCTCTTAAGCAGACCTTATTCAGAGGGTCTTTATCCCCAAGGGTCCCCCTTATCCTATCCCCTATAGATGCACAAATGCGTCCGTGTATGGCCTGCTTTTTGAGGCGAAGTCCTAGGGCCAGGGGTACACCGACATCCTTCGGATGATCTCGTGCTTCACCTTACACACAGCTGAGCAAAGCCGACCACGAACTCAAAGTCTCCACACTGCAGGTGAGACAGGGCCGGGATCTGCGAGCTACGCGGAGTTCGAGCGGAAGGAACGGAGGGGCCTTCCATCTCTCTTGGGAGGATTTGGGAGGTTTCGCAAGGCAAAGGGCAGACCATGTTGCCCCGCAACGTCTCTGCGTGATACATTTCTAGGTGGTTTTCTTTTGTTGAACCCTGATGTTCACGGGTTTTTTTGCTACTGCTTTTTTTGGTCTCCCACTTAAAGAACCCTGCAAATTGCATAGAAACACTAAACGGCCCTCGCCAGGGCATGGAGCAGCTCAGCAAGACCTGCTTCTGCCTGGTGGCCGGCGGTCTTGGAGAGCGATTAGGCCAGACTTTTCCTGGAAACCCGAGGAGATCATGGCACCGCAAATCTTGCAATTCTCAAGTCCGCTTGGCCATGTAGTCGCCCAACCTCCGCTCGATTCTGGAGGTGCTGTTTAAATGTAGGAAAGACAAGCGTGTCGGGCGCACAGGTTACCCTGGGATCAAGATCGGCATCACAGCAGAGCTCACGACTGGCTTGCTCTTTGGCTTTCCATGGGAGTGCAGCACATCATCGTGATACATGTAGATGCGCATGCAGAACTGTTTGTCTCTGTGCGTCCTCAGGACCTTTATGGAGCTCTACGCCAAATACATCCTAGCATTCCAGGCAGATGCAGGGTGGTGAGACTACTAGTATCATGCAACCCTAGTGGCCTTGCAAGTGCGGCACGGTCAGGCGTATGCGCGGAAAGCCACTGGCGACAACACTTTGGAGCTCCCGCTGGCAATCATGACCTCAGGCCGCTGGCAATCATGACCTCAGGTCGGCTGTTTGGGCTTAGGGTTCTCATTTTCAGGTATGATGCCTGTTCACCCATGGCCGGTCTAGCATAGCCATTCTCTGCGCCCCCGACCAGCACCCCAAGCCAACGCCACACTTTAGCGGAAAGCTTTTGCTGCGGGACCAGCGATACTCGGCCGCTTCACTCCGTGCCCATGGTCCTGAACTTCCGGAGCCCCAAACTACGACAATGTAGGCTTAAGGGTAGCATGGGTAGCCCCCATGCAAGGACTTCAATGTTCGACCATTGCGGGACGCGCGATCTCGGGTGGACTATCTGCAGAAAGGGTCAGGGATCCCTGAAAAGAGCCCCTCTGAAATCGCCTTCACTGCCTAAACCTAAACCCTAAACTATAAACCTTCACCCATGATTAGTTTAAGCGCACAAGGCGACACCAACGCAAAGACCTTGGAACTCCTCGAGGCCAACGCCTACTTCGGCCTCAGCACCAGCCAGGCATCCGTCTTGGAATGCCGGGAGCAGAGCACCACAGGGTTTGCAATAGAGCCACGGTACAAGCAGAGTGCCAGAACATGAAGAACGGGGCAGTGGGTCTTAATCCGTAAACAGGAACGGCTGAGTATCCGGCAGAAGTCAACCAACCAAAGCTGACTTCTATGGTGCTGGTGTCATGTAACAATCCGTTCCCCCAGCCCAAAACTCGAAGTGCTGATCTGCAGCACTGCAGCATGCTCGTTAGCAGCAGCTTTGTTCTGTTAAACTTCCAAGGACTAGGATGGGGAAAGGGAAGCCTCGTAGCATCGATCGTTCGATTTGCGACAACCTCGGCTCAAGTTCTCAACATTGTACGTACTGTAGCTTGTTTAGAGACCAGGTGTTGCAGAGGCCTGTTGGGACACCACTGTGGCCCCTGCAACACTCAAGGCCAAGAAAGGGCTCGACGTTTCCTGCGATGTCAGTGCGCATGAATGGCAGCCAGCTGACCATCGAGCAGTTGAAACGGCGTTTCAGCCGACTCCAGCAGCTTCAAAGACGTCTGCGCTTACCGGCAGCAGCCCATTTTGAGGCTCCGGGAAGGCAGTATCACTTGCCGCTACGGGTCAAGCATGCTCAAGCATGCAGGCACATGCCGCAGCGCACCCTGGACTATTTGGCTGGCTTCTTCGACGGAGATGGCTGCGTCAGCCCGAGTGCTGATAGTACACGCATCAGGCTCGCGATTACTCAAACCGAGTCCAGCAGTACAGTGCTGTTGCTCTTCCGGAACTTACTTGGCGGCTCGGTCATGAGAGGTGATCATACCAAAGGCTTGATTAGGCCAACCCTGCAGTGGGAAGTGAGTGGCGAAGCTGCGCGGCATGCGGCAGCTCTTCTATGCAGCAGATCTTCCTGCAAAGACCGTCAGCTCAGCATTGCAAGCTCATGGCCTCAAACGCTTCATCTACGCGCCGAAGCCGTTGCCAAGTTGAAAGTCTTGAAGCGAAAGGCACCCCCGACAGCTACATGTCCCACTTGGCACTACCTGGCTGGGTTTTTTGATGCGGAGGGATGCATCCACTTGCAGCAACCCTCTTACATCAGATTGAAAATTACTCAGAAGTTTCCACAAGTTCTGCGCGCCATCCAGAAGTTTCTGGCAGAGCATGGTTTGAAGTGCTCAATTAGCAATGACCGGACTTGTGCCTCGCTGGTCATTTCTGAAACTGAGTTGAGTAAGCTCGTGCTGGCCAGACTAGTGGTGTCAGGTTTGCGTCTTAAGCGCGAGGCAGCGCGATTGGCACTGCGGATGACCTCCGACAATTTCCTCGAGATCCGAAGTGACCTCCAAAAAATGGTAGGAAATCAAGGTCGCTACCAACGCTTGACTTGCTCGGGACTGGAAAGAGCAAAGGAGATCAATCGGCTGCGGGCTCGTTTACGGTGGGCTGGACCGGCTGGACCACAAAATTCTGCACTGGAGTCGCAACTGCGGTTGCTGTGTGAGGACCACAAGTTGCAAAGAGCGCAGGAACGGCTGCTTCTGATTCGATCTGACATACGACACCTCCTTTCTCAAGGAGCTAACTCTGTTTAGTCGACGAGGGATGCCTCCACGGCATGAAGTGACAAGTGGCAAGCGCATCTGCAGCCTGTAGGCGGACGTCACTCACTGGGGCGTCAAAAGTCTGCGTACTTTAATCGCTGTTTCAGCTTGTTCGCTCTGGGTTGCACACAAACACATGTTGACAGAAGCACGTCTTAGGAATGTTATTTCAGAAGCTGCCAGCTCGGCGTTTCATGCATTCAGAAGGAGATGCACGTCAGATCTGCCGCAAGCCTTGCCACGTAGATTGTTGGAGTACCGGTCGCCTCGACTGGTCCATTGAGTGTGGGACTTGTCGAAGCATTCTGCAGACTCAGTTGACGGCTCCCGTTTCGCTTTGTTCTCGCCACACCACCTGTCAGTTTGAAAGCCACACAAAGCAAAAGACATGCGACCCACACGGATGCATCTCAGCATGTTGGTTTATAGAAAACACACCAGCGTGTGCAAGCAGGTTTCCATCATGAAGCAGGAGCTGGTACCTGCTCTGATGGACATTGATGCGCGGATCGCCGTCAAGGACACGTGGACAAATCTAGCGAGACTCACCTGTGGCCTTGTGTAAAGAATATAGAATAGCTAGTTACAGCTTGTTTATACTAGCTACGCTCTGTCAGCATCAACTCGGAACTCAGCCGCGAGAGAGCCGTGGTTGGGCACAAGCAGTGGAGGACGGTCACGTGGAGAAGAAGCCGCATGGCCATGGCGATGTGCACGCGCTGCACCTTGGCTTACTCTGGTTTCGGTGTGGTCTTGTGCGAGAGCCACTTTCAGATATCGAGCTCTTGACTCCGGAGCCTGTATTGTCTGGAGTGACCTGCTTGTGTTAACCACTGTCGTTGAAACACGCTGTCATTGAAAACATGTCTTTCGAGGCTTCACCAGCACGGCTTGCCCGACAAGTGGGCCAAAGAAGGCACACTGCCGAGACTACCCACTGACACAATGAGCATTTACGGTCACTCATTCGGGGGCTTGAACCTCAAGGGTAGTATCTAACTGAAGCTCTGGTGTCATGCCATTGGCTCTCTTACCGAAAAGACCTGTGCTCCCAGACCTACCTCCAGGCCAGATCGCCTTGGATGTACAGAGTGGGCTTCAAGCTGCTTGCGAGGAGGGGGGTTTGATTCCGTAGGAGGCCCCCAGGAGTCTGGACATTCTAGTTCAGCTAGGAACGTCTTTCAGAATTCCAGAGGGCAAAAAGGGCCAACCTATACGGAACCATCGATTGCATGGAATTCTTCAGGCAGAGAGTGGCTTTTGCTGTTCCAAGACACGAACCCGCTGCCCTTCCGCAGCCTCTGCGCGATCTTGGGCGTGTCCGCCCCTCGCCAGGAAACTATCCTTTGTGTAAGGTTTATGCAATAGGGTTTAGGGTTTAGGGTTTGGTCACCAAGTCCCAGTTGCAAAAAGGGTTTAGGCTTTAGGGTTTAGAGTTTAGGGTTTAGTGATGTGCCCGCTCATTATATTCCCCTCCCCTGCCTCAATCAGTACTTGTACCAACTAAATCTTGTTCCCGCCCCTCCACGCCTTGGCTCAAGCAAAAAAACTCTTTGCTTGCCTATACCCTATACCCTATACCCTATACCCTATACCCTGAACGCTAAACCCTAGACCCGGGACCCTCCTAAACCCTAAACCCCTCAGGCCAGCCGCGGCTTCGCGATGAACTCCGTCGCCGTGCCGCGCCTGCCTGCCGAAGCGGTGGGCGGGATCTGCCAGCTGAGCCGCGGCATTGGGGTTCGGCGGGGAGGTTTAGGGTTTAGGGTTTAGGGTTTAGGGTTTAGGGTTTAGGGTTTAGGGTTTAGGGTTTAGGGTTTAGGGTTTAGGAAGCAAAAAAAGGTGTAGGGCCTTGGATTTGGGGTTTAGCGGGGTTTCGGGGTTTGGGAGCAGTCGAAAGTAAGTTGATCCAACTGAAGCCCTAAGGGCCCAAGACCCCATGATGCTTCAGGCTTTGCATCTGTTTTGGGCCCAAGGACATTCATATTTGGGGTCTTGGGCCCTTAGGGAAGGGGTTTGGGTACCGGTGGTATTTGCGACAGGCTTGGCAGAGAAGTAGAGCCTCAGAAAAACCCTGCCAGAGGAAGGGCCCATCTGGCGAGGGCTTGACCATCAACGTCGAGTACAACCAGCTGGATCCACTTTTGAAGGACCTGCGGAAACTTGGAGGGCCCGAGGTTCGAATGCACACAACCCACAGATCCAACTACTTAACCAAAGAAGGCCAGAGCGGGCCCTACACAAGGGTGTACTTGTTTCCGTGGCCTTACGCACCCTTACTCACTCAAACCGAAGCCCTCTCAACCCCCACACACAGCCTGTTCAAGCCCCGGTTACGACAAGAAAGGACACACCAGCCGGCGGTGACGTAGCAGATGCCAGCGGCTTCTCGCCCTACCCCGGCAACATCAACGTCCTGGCGCCTGTTTGGCAAAAAGTCTGGGAAGTTTGGGTAAGTTTTAGGATTGGCATGCGAGTCGTCAGTTTGTGCATGGACGATGACAATTATTCACCAATAAACACCGGGCATGCATGCACCGAGGGGCCTACCGATTTTTGTAAACCATTTGAAAGCAAAAAGCAAGAACCGGTGAACCTCGCCGACTCGAGGTCTTTCACGTGGGTACCATGGCCCAGCGGCTCGCCACGACTGGCGGCATCGTGCCCGCTGCCCAACAGCACATGAACCGAAGTGGGTTAGGGATGATGGTCGGGCATTTGCTTCTCTACAAGTCCTGCAAATGCCATATCCCTACGTCTAAACCCTACAGAATAGACTGAGCGGCCTTGCGCATTCTTTAGCACCAGGGTCGCTGGAAGCTTGTCGACTTTTGGTGAACCCAGAATCCGAACCCTGTGCACTTGTCACGGCAACCCTTTATGAACTCTGTCGAGGGAGTTCCCTGTGCCCAGGGACCGATGCTGAAAATGTACCCCTACGCGTGTCTGGAGACTACTCCAATCCCTGCGAAGAACGTTTAGGGTTCAGGGTGTAGGGTTCAGGGTTCAGGGTTCAGGGTTCAGGGTTCAGGGTTCAGGGTTTAGGGTTTAGGGTTTAGGGTTAGGGTTTCAAGAGCTCCTCACAAGCAAGGAGTTCGTGAACCCCAAGTGGGCGGACGCAGAGAAGAGCAAGTTCAAGTCGCCCACGCGGCTCGAGCGCCGCGGCAGCAGAGCAGGGTTCTGGATCGTTCCGAAACGGGTTTTGTAAAGTTCCGAGGCTCAGGGCTTGGTGGGGTGTGTGGCTCTAACTACAGGGCACTCAGATTATCTGATTGTGTTGCGTGGGGCTGTTTCTTTTCGGGTTTGGAGGCTCCGGTTTCTCTAGAGGACTGCAGGGAGTAGGAATTAGAGTGCGGTATTGATTCAGCATGCCAAAAGGCGGGCCAAGGAACTGCGCCCTATAGACAATCTCGCCAACCGACGAGGTGCATGATGCAGGACTTCCCCCGTCTCTGCACGAAAGCCGCTTGGCCGGGTGACAGTCTAAACCCTTAACCCTTAACCCTCGACCCACCCTAAACTCTAAACCCTAAACCGTGCTTGCCATGTCCGCTTGTGTCTTCCATGCGCGCTTCCAGCGTTGGGCTCTGTATTGCACGTGCTGTTTCCTGAAATTACATCGCTTAGCGGGGCTCATGTTTGAAGTTTAGTTCTATTAATCAGCCAGGCAGCCCAACAATTCTCGACAATCGCCAGTCATTTTTTGACCGCATGGCACCTGAAAACTGTTTCAAGGCCCTTTAAGCCAGCCGTGGCTCTACTAAGCCCCTAGTCAGCACTACCATGTAGCACTTTTCAGTAACTCAATAGGAGCCCTTCAGAGAACCCTAACTGAACTAACAAAAGTCCGCACCTCTGCAAAGGGGACGATCCCAGTTTAAACCTCCTAAGCCCTACTTAGAAGCTCTTAGTAAGTCTACTTAGTATTCCCTATAGAAGCCCTCTTATACTCCCATAACCCACATTACTAACCCTACTTACTAAGTCAAAAGGGCTTGCAAGTAGACATTGGTTCCTCTTCTGGCTTGTCAGAGCTGAGCGTTACAACCCTAAACCCTAAACATCCCTAACTATGCACCCTATTAACCCTATGACTACTATTAACCCTATAAAACCTTGAGAAACCCTATAAATCCTAAACCCTATAAACTCTAAACCCTATGAACCCTAAACTGTAGACCCGAAACCCTTAACCTCCGAAGACAAAGCCCCCTTCCCATGTCGGCCACTAAGGATGACAAGGCTGCTTGTCTTAAGCCAAGCCTTCAGTCGGGGGGTCTTCTGTGCTCCAGGTAGGGGTTTCTGGGTTTCTAAGTTTAGGGTTTAGGGTTTAGGGTTTAGGGTTTAGGGTTTAGGGTTTAGGGTTAGGGGTTTCCGACTCAAAGTCTAATGTCAGGCGGGGGGGGGGGGGGAGATTGTACCGACTTGAGGGTGCGCACGTGGCGAATACGAACGCTTCTACGGACCTGTGTGAAATTTATGGCCGAAGCCTACGGTTGCCGTATTGATACAATATCACCCCAGCTTCCAGCTGCCCCGCGAACCTTCAAGTAAAGCCCAACCCGGGGCAGCAGGTGGGGACTCTTGTGTCAAGTAAAAAAACTTCCGAAATCCAGAGCGAAACCCCCAAACAGCGTAAGAAACTCTCGGCTTCAGGTTGGCTTCACCCAGCTGGAGAGGCTGCGACTCCGAAGCAAGCATCTTTCAGATCTCACGGAACTGGGGAGCATGCCCTGCGACTCTGCGTACTGTACCAGGTTCTATTCAGAATGTTATGTTACACATGCATATAGATGTATATACATATACCTATATATATGTATATACATATATACATACATATGTCTAGAGCCGCAGGTTCAGAAGTGCGCTTTGAAGCTCAAGCGCGAGTCAAGTTCGTTGTCGGCTTCAGGAGTCGTAGTTATCTTGTTGCTTATGAAGTTGCAGCATCTGGGTTTGCCTGCGCTACGCAGAGTGTCACCGAGACCACCTCCCATGATGGCCTGCTTAAGACCCAAAAGAACTTTGCTTTCTACGGGGAGCGCAGACATGAAGCATTGAGTTTTGAGGATGAGCTTCACCTGCGTCAAGAACAACTTGGCAGACGCCATGAAGAAGAACCCTCCCGCCTCTTGGCTGTGCACGACTCCTCTGAGCTAGAGGATTTCGACGTTCCTGAGCCCGAAAGCTACAGTACACCATGCAATGCAGGGCCGTGCGGGAGTTTTGCACATACTTCGGGAGAGAGTGGAAAGCATCTCACCCAATGCATTGGGATCCAAGAGCAGAAGCCAGGCCTCTTTTCTTGTCCGCCATGGGCTGAGGACTGCGCTCTGTCGGCCGAGGCAGCAGCATGGCCTCTATTCGGCTTAGGGAAGTTTAGGGTTTACAGTTCAGGGCTCATTAGGGTTTACGGGAGAAAGATTTCGGGTTAAGGCCTGAGGTTTGGGCTGTGAAACTCCAGCGCTGATAAGCAAATCCTGGGAACACCAGGAGGATGTCCCCATGCCTCAAGCCTAATAACCCTCGACCCTCAACACTAAACCATAGGTAGGCACTTAGGATATTTGTAATTTTCCCTTGCTGGGTTTATGTATAAGAGGATCATACTGAGGGTTTTTGTTCAGAGGATTTTTATAGGGCCAGCCTAGTAAGCCTGCAAAGGGCCGCGGGCCACTGAGGACATTTACGCCTGCAACGCCCGACTGCTAGAGCTGGCGGGCCAGGGCAAGGTGGCCTAGCCTGATGAGCACTCATTGGGTTTAGGGTTTAGGGTTTAGGGTTTAGGGTTTAGGGTTTAGGGTTTAGGGTTTTATTAGGGTTTATGATATCTTGTTTCATGAAGGGGCTTTGGGGCTTTTGAGTCTAGAGTTTGTGTTTACGGTTTAGGGCCGTGTTTTCTTCTTGTTGGTACTTGTGTTTTGGAGGTGTAGTGTGGGGTTTTGAGAGGTTCAGGGGGTTTCGGGGCTTTTAAGCCAGGATCAGAACAAACGGGGTCCAAAGGGGCCTGAAGGTGGCGCTCGGGCAATGCCTCTACATACAGACTCAGAAGCAAATCAACGCCCTCTCTGCTATAAGCCAGGTTCCTATCTTTCACGAGCGTCATCTACCCTGCACTGTAGTGCCCAAGGTCGGGCCCCTACCGCATAAGAAGTAAAGCAGGTGCAGATAGAAGCTCCGCCGCTGAGCTGCAAGTCGGAATCCGTCGTCCTTTATGTTTTTTTCACCAACACTGAGATTGCCGGACGGCTCAACGCAGTTCGAGTGAGTACTCTTTTTCATCATCGCTTGCCCTTTGTGGCAATTGCTGCGCTAAAGGGGACTTGCCGCAGAGACGTAAGCAGGAAACTAATCCTGAAACTTATCAGGCCAGACGTCAACTTCTTGGGCATCACGGCCCAGGCACGGATGCAAGGGCGCTTCAGGGCCTATTTATGGTGCTCAGAGTTTTGTGTTGCTTTACTCTTGCTCGCCGTCTCAAGACCCCACGCTTGCTGGCCCCTTCCAACCCCTACTCGTTGCAACCCTAAACCCTAAACCCTAAACCGAAGGAGGCGTTGTCGCCTGAGAGAAGAGGGAGGTTCAAGGGGCGAAGACTCGTGCCCCTAAGGTTGTACCCCTCAAGGTTGCCCTGAATACCCTCCGAATCATGGCCCTTTAGGGATGCATAAAAAGGGTCCGTTTGACCCCTAGACAGGTGGGGGCCCGCATTGTGCTGCTGCCAAACTTTGCGATCTCTCTGGAGCAGATGAAGGCCGGCTTACCACCTTCCTAAAACCTAAACCATCCAAACCTTACAGCTTAGCACTTTCAGGTTTTGCGGGAGGACCCGCTTTTATGGGGGGGTTCGGACACGCATCCGCAGTAGTTCGCCCACCAAGCACAGGCTTGCTCCTTGAGATGTTGGGGCTTAGGGTTTAGGGTTTAGGGTTTAGGGTTTAGGGTTGAGGGTTTAGGGTTTAGGGTTTAGGGTTTTTGTTCGTCATCCAGGAGATGAGTGCAGCTTTTGTTTTTCCTTGCCTGAGTCCTGGAGGTCCGGGCCAGGGGTTCTTTGTGAGCAATAGCGTTCCCTTAATAGCCCTTAATAAGGAACCCAATAAGGTACCACCTAATTTCGGAGACCCCCAAATCTTCCGAAGGAGAAGATCAAGGGCAAGATCACCATCTCCAACAAGTCTGAGCTCGTGGTGGAGAGCGATGCGTCCCGGCACCCTTTTTTCAGCTCTCAAGGCTTCCCTAAACCTCTTTTTCTTCTAATTTCGCGTCCCGGACAACATGAAGAATATGTAGAAATGGGTGCAATCTGAGAAAATCACCTAACCCACAGTCATTTCCATACACACACGCGCACACCACGCCAGCAGCTAGACTTCTAACCGAGTGAAGCTTGGGGTTTAGGAGCAACTCTTGGACTTACTCAGGTGGCTCTGAACGACTTGGAGCTGGATGGCGCACTGACGGTTCAGAGCCCAGCAAGACTGGCTGGTTCTTAAAGGGAATGAGGGAAAGAGATGCCCCATACAAGCCCTTAAAGGGTATATATGTTAGGGTCCTAATTCCCTCATTCCCTACTAAGAACTCCAAGATATTGCCCCTGTTGGGGGTGCCCTCAAAACGCATTTGGGCCCGTATTGCGTCAAAACCTCCAAAGAGGATCCGCGCTGGCCGCATGTCGAGGTTTTCCGTTTGGCATGCTGGGGTTGAATCCCTAAACCCTAAACACTGGACTAGCACCCTGACCTCTTCCTGACACCCTGACCCTAAACCCTGAACCTGAACCCTGAACCCTAAACCCTAAACCCTAAACCTGAATCGACCAAACAAACCCAAACCCAAAGCCTCCGAACCACTTCCGGAGGAGTCGAGGAACCTATGGTTCCCGAACATCGTGCCCTTAACGGAGCCTTTAAAAGGTGGCAGGGTAAAACTTCAGTGACAGAGTAGAACCCCCCCTACCCCCCTTCTTGAGCCCCCCCGAACGCCTAAAGCCTAAACCCTAGACCCTAGACCCTAGACCCTACACCCTACACCCTAAACCCTAAACCCTAAACCCTAAACCCTAAACCCTAAACCCTAAACCCTAAACCCTAAACCCTAAACCCTAAACCCTAAACCATGCCCAGACCCAGAAACTGCTGACAGCCCGGCCTACTGGAAGGTTCGCTCCACCGGAGAGCTTGCCAGCAAGGTTGTGAAGACGCGGTGCCGCAGGAAGTGCCAACAGGGTTTTGAGGGTTTAGGGCTAGGGTTTAGGGTTTTAGGGTTTTAGGGTTTAGGGTTTAGGGTTTAGGGTTTAGGGTTTAGGGTTTAGGGTTTAGGGTTTAGGGCTAGGGTTTAGGGTTTGTAGGCTTTTGGGAAATAAGGTTTATGGGGATTTTGGTGTTTACAGGGTTCCAATCCCCATGTAGAGGTAAAATACGAACTAGGGTTTAGGGTTGCAGGCTTTTGGGAAAGATAAGGTTTGTAGGGATTTTCGAGGTTTACAGGGTTCTAATTCCCATGTAGAGGTAAAATACGAACTACCCAAACCGGGCGGCATGCAGACCTGGTGCGAAAGGGGTTGCGGGTGTAGGGCGCCAGAGGGCATTGGGAATTTAGGGGTTTAAAGGCTCATTCGTAGCTCTCGGCTTTTGGCTTGAAAAGTCACAGCTCTGAAGCCTTGTTCGAGAATCTGTTTCCCCAACCTTGCACACACCAAACCCTCGCTCATGGGTCCCCCTACTACCCCCTCTAGTCTAGGGATAATTTCGCCTAATTAAGGTTTTTCCTGGGGTGGGGGGGGGGGGGGGGGGAACCTAGAAAAGGAGGGGGGTAGTATTGAGGGGGGGTAGTCGGGAAGCCCATGACTAGCCCTTTAACGAAACCCTACAACCGTGCAACCATGCAACCCTCCAGTGTTTTGCGCTCCCTGGTAGTCCTACAATTTACCCTCTTACCTTATGGCGGGTGCACCATTCCCCATTTTATTCCGTGTTACCCTCTTGTCCTATTGCCCTTGTGCCTCAGTACCCTCAACCCTGAAACCAGAGCCTTGATGTACTCTGTTGCATCTCAGGAATGCCGGCACGTCGCCCCTTGGATGTTCGCCTTCTTGCGTGTGTAGGTTTGGGGCTTGTGGGGTTTAGCAGAATGAGGCTGCTGATTCACTGATTTGGGGTTGACTTCAAGCCCGGAGATGTTGGGTTGAAGGTACCGGCTTAGGACGGGGCCCCATCCCCAAACCCTAGCATTACCTGCCGAAACCCTGACACCACCCACCCGCGCCCCCTTAACTCAAGTCCGCTCAGGCTTGTCGCCATCCCAGAGGCGGAGCTCAAGTCTCAGGAGCCTTTTTTGCCTCGAATTTTACACTCCTTCGGTCCAAGGGGTTATAGGGTTCGGGGCTTCGGTTTGACCCAACGTCGCCTTAGTACTGCCAATAAGGTTCCCTGAAAAGGCCCTATGGGCTTTCAGTGTCTAGATTCGATAGAGTTGAGAGAATCTGAGAACCCTTACTTAAGACCCAAAACCTAAGACCCGAAGCCCTAAACCCTTAAAGCCTTAAAGGCAGAGCATCAAGCACGGCAGGTGGCAAAATACCTTAAAGCCTTTAACCCAAACAAGAGAATCTTCTCAATCCTGACACCTTAAGTGCCAAGAGAGATTCAAACATCGGAGGCCCTTGCAGCCGTTACACTAGTACATGGGGCGTTGCTCTAAATTATGGGTTTCGGGTTTAGGGTTGGGGTGAAGGCGGGAATCTGAAATTTCCAGACGTTAACAATGGCAATTCCAGCAGGGCCCACAGTAAGATTAAGTCCAAAAGCATCAACCCTGAACCGCAGTCAGCTGGGCAGTTGGCAAGCAACGCCTAAACCCCCCTTGAACGTTTCGGATTTTAGGGTTTAGGTTAAGTTAACAGAGAGAGAGAGAGAGAGAGAGAGAGAGAGAGAGAGAGAGGGACCCTAAACCCTAACAGCAGGAGCCATCGCTCCAGATCCGCGGCTATCGACGAGCCGTGGGAGAGGTGCAAGAAGCCTAGGTGGCGACCTGCCGCACACTCCTCCTCCAACCCTTTTGCTTCAGAAAGCCCAAAGAGCCCCTCAAGCCGTAAGGGCATATCTGGGCTTAGGGAGGGTTTAGGGTTTAGGGTTTAGGGTTTAGGGTTTAGGGTTTAGGGTTTAGGGTTTAGGGTTTAGGGTTTAGGGTTTAGGGTTTAGGGTTTAGGGTTTAGGGTTTAGGGTTTAGGGTTTAGGGTCTCTAGGTCCAACAGTCCAAGCGTTTTACTAAGCCTTTCGAAAAAAGTTGGCGTCCTGCGAATGCAGGGTTTTTGGGAGACCTTCTAAGTAGATTTGGTGGTTTTTGCCCGGTGCCGCTGGAACGAAGCAAAGACGATTTGTCCGGCAACAACAAAAGCGTTCCCACTCAAAGCCAGAGCTTTTTAATTTGGGGTTTAGGGTTTAGGGTAACTAAGGGAAACCCACCACAGGGCATCGGCAAGGGACATCGATTACAGCTCACATGTGATCACGTGTGAAGTCAGGTCGCAGAGCCGTTTTGCAAGATATTGTTTAATTGCTTGGCGTCTGCGACTTGGTGCCAAGCACAGTGGATCTGCTTGTGAGCGTTCCCATGCTGTGATTGGCTGTTGCCTTGCGCAGAATACATGTGTCAGAGCCAAATGAACCTTTGCTGAGCATTGTCCAAAAGTTTCATGTTACGAAGTAGACCTGAGCTACCCGAACCTTCCTGTGCTACTAGTACGAGGCACGAGATACGGATATCCTACAATCGAAACCGGTTCATTTGGTGGGCTAGACCCCGAGAGACAATCCGCTCGCCGAAGAGGCACGTGGACGTTTAACAGGAGAAAAGAAGCAAGCTGTCTTGGTCTAGGATTTAGAGATCGAAAAAGGGCTAGCTCTTTTCATCTGAGCATTTGGAGTTTGGCAGGAACACAGAACTAGTGCAAGTTCACATGTGCGGCCAGCCATCTCGAGTTGCTGTCATTCCTAGGTGGGATAAGGGGTCGCCCTGAAAAGGGAACCCTTCTGAACCCTCTTCTGGCGCTCTTAAACAGGGACCTTATTCAGAGGGTCTATATCCTCAAGGGCCCCCCTCGTCTTTTCCCCTCGTCATAAAGCCCCAACCCTAAACCCTAAACCCTAAATCCCCAACCCCCTCTCCAATGCGATCCTGCAGTGTGGCTGGTCAGCTTGGCAGGTAACAAAACCCTCAGCTCTAAACCCTATCAACCAACCCCATTAAACCGACAAACGTTATGAACCCCCCTAAACCCTAAACTTTAAACCCTAAACCCTAAACCCTAAACCCTAAACCCTAAACCCTAAACCCTAAACCCTAAACCCTAAACCCTAAACCCTAAACTCTAACCCCTAAACCCTAAACCCTAAACCCTAAACCCTAAACCCTAAACCCTAAACCCTAAACCCTAAACCCTAAACCCTAAACCCTAAACCCTAAACCCTAAACCCTAACCCTAAACCCTAACCCTAAACCCTAAACCCCAAACCCTACGATGTCCCAAGCAACATCGGAGCTCGGAGGAGCTGTTGTACATGGGAGCGGAGCGTTTCCTAGCCACGGGCCCAGGGGAGAACGGCGCTTGAGGTGGGTAAGGGGTTTCGGGCTTAGGGTTTAGAGTTTAGGGTTTAGGGTTTGGGGTTTAAGGTTTAAGGCCCGCAGAGTTTAAGGGAACCCTGCACCCCAAATCCTAAAGCACTGCCGGTGTTGAGAGGTGCACAAAGGTCCGAGGTTTCAAGGTTCGAGGTTTCACAGGGGTGTGCGAGTTTGCCGTCAACAGCTTCGGATTTTCGTGCAACAGTCCAGGAAAAGAGTCCCAGATGCAAACCCTAAACCCTAAGCCCTAAACCCTAAGCCCTGGTTTTGGTTCAAGGTTCCCTTATGACCCCAAAAAAGGTGCCCTTATGTTTTTTTTGATATGTGGTTACTGGGCTACCAAGACACCCTAAACAACTTTTCGCTCGTGAGAGTTCAAGGCTAGTGACTAGTGCTGTTCAGGATGTGGCAAGCTGTGGCAGCTAGAAACCGTACCTTGAGGACCAAACGAACAAGAATCCTGGGATTGTATACCCTTCGGTACTAGAATCGGTGTCTTGAGGTGTAGAACCCAAAACCCTGTAAACCCCAACCTACAGCCCCCCAGGTACCTTAGTTCTACTATTTGCTTCAGAACCTCCAACAAACACAGAGTAATAATCGCCATAATTTTCCTTATACAGATTTTTTTCTTTTTTTTGAAGGTTTCTTAAGCAATTCGGAGTTTGCTGAGGAGATCCACTCGCGAGTGAGGGCGCCCATCCTGGCGAAACACATTGCCCGGATCATGTGGGCTGCGATCTCAGACAAAGTGTGGTACCCAAAGCCCCTAAAACCCCTAAACCCTGAGCCCTAAACCCTAACCCCTAAGCCCCTAAAACCCCTAAACCTCCCAAGATTTGCAAAACGATGACACTTTTATGGGTTTCGGGCTAGTCGTTTACACACTTTGGGGGTCCAGGTAAGCCCTAATTCCTAAACCCCGAAACTCTGAACCTAAACGCTGAAACTCAACAGCCTGGGGGTGGTTCATGAGGAATAAACCGTTTATGGGGCCTCAATCCTAAACCCTAAACAAAAAAGTGGAATGTGCTGCGCACGTGCCCAAGAACACAGAGTTGTCGCAGCAGACATTCATGTTCTTACCGGATCTCATGGCTGCTTTCGATGGTTCAGGGTTTAGGGCTTAGGGTTTGATTTTTTGTGTTTAGGTGGTTGCTCAAGAGAGTTTTGGAAGTAGGTGGGGAGCGCTTTGTTGCAGCCACTGCAAAAGGTGAACGGCATAACCCGATCAGCGGCAAAGAGCATGGACTAAGTGGCAAAATGGCGTGCTCAGCATGTGCCCTGGTTGTTCGGCGCAATCCTGTTCCAGACTCATGATCACTTCACCATGGGTGGGTTGACGCTTGTAATGGGGTTTACAGAGGACTCAGTAGGGTTTGGCAAAAAGGTTTCTCAATCTGGGCACGCTGGTGCGAAAAGCACCCAGGCGCGCGCCCCGAATCGTGCAACCCTAAACCTTAAACCCTAAACCCGACTCTTTAAGACACATCCAACAAGAACCCTGAACCCTCAAACCCCTTCGTCCCGGGTATAGCCCATATTATGATAATGCCTAGTCGTGCCCTTATTCGAGCCTTAGTATGGGCCCTTAAAGGGGACCCCTCATATTCCCCTTATATACCCTATACAACCCGAGGGCCCATACCTCAGAACCCTTTAAGGGAGGAGGTAAGGGACCACCATATTCAGGCCCCATGCAACTACCCTTACCTGCCAAGGCTTTCGCAAAGTTCGAGTTTCGGCACGTCCGGTCGGTGGCTGAGTGTCGCTCACTGAAGGCTTCTCGAGTTGTCCTTTGGAGCATCACTTGTTTTTGGGGTAGACCCATATGGTACATTTTCATGGGCAAATCCCCACAGAGAGCGAGAGAGGAAACATTAACACAGGATGCAGAAATAAGTTGATAAACAGGCATTGGACATCAAGCAGAGCCACAAAGCAACGAGACTGAGGTTGCGGGCTTGTTGCGGGCGAACATACCCCGTAGCCCAAAAGGGTTTAGGGTTTAGAGTTCTGGGTTTGAGGCATCATTCGAGAGGTTTGGAAAATATATGTGTTAGCGTGTAGTATGCATGCTGTGTATATGAGTTCTTTTTAATGTGTCTATATTCGTTCTTTCGTGGATCTACAAATAGATAGAACCAAAATGATGTAAGATCGAATTGCAAAGCAAAACACTTACATAACATAACACGGCAACTCATCACAATCACTAGTGTAATGTAATGTGTACCTGTCTTTACTTTCATGATTGAATCCATTCCCCATCTTCCCGTGCGTCGTGCTGCACGGGCTTCTTCTGAACATGTACTGTTTGCAGCTGCTACCGAGGCTTTGTGGCTAAGGGCGCTGGCTGCTGATGCCTTCTAGTTTCGGAAGATTAAGAGCCCGTTTCGAACAGTACGCAGACAACAAAAACATGCGACTCCCTCCCCCCCCCCCCCCCCCCCATGTCAGTTATCATGTCTTCTTATCCGTCGGTGCAAACTTTCGTATAGATTCCAAGCCTCCCTGCAAACTTAGAGCCTTCAACCCCCTCAATGTTGCAGTGAACCCTAAACCCTAAACCCTGAGCCCGAGTATTTTACTCATCGCGCCCAAGGCTGGGTAAGGCACTTATCGAGCGTCTGGCCCCGGAGAAGCACGTCATTAGGCGCAGCTGCTGGTGCAGCGCGGAAGGGTTCAAGGGAGTGCCTTGCAACCCTTTTTTCTCCACTCGTGATATCATGGTGTCTCCGGTCTTGCTGCACAGAGAGGGTAGGATTTCGCGCCTCAGGGGTTGAGTCGGTTTAGGTACCTGTAGACCCCCAAGACAAACTTGGACCCCAAAGGATGTACCCCTGAGAACATGGTCCTCATATTCCCTTAGGGTTTAGGGTTTAGGGTTTAGGGTTTAGGGTTAGGGTATCTTTTCAAAAGGGTCCCCAAACCCAAGGGTACAACCTTAGGGGTCCACGCTAGAGTTTCATGCAGGGTTGCACAAGCAATGCGCCTTGGCGTGCTGTGGGTTGAAACTCAAGCCTGAACCCTGACCCCGACTGAACACAGGCCGTCAGGACATCAATGATGCGAGTCAGAACAGCCGACATTCCAACAACGACGCTTCTGGACCCCGAAGCCCCCAAACCCTAAATCCTCAATCCTAAGTTTGGAACAATGGGTTTAGATGCGCCCTTAGCATAGTCCGAATAGGGATCCGAAGTAGGAACCTTTTTATTATGCATGGTGTACATAAGGGTTATATAGCAATGGACCCACATGAAGGGCCCGCCCATACTTGGAACGCTAGTGACCCTAATTCCAGCCGGTCAGGTTTCTAACGCCAGATCAGCTCCACGCGCCGACCTCAGCGGTGGCAAATTCCCTTTTGAGTTTGACGCGAGGTCGAAGGACTGGACCCTACCCCCTGTAGTCCCCTTTAAGACATTACATCAGGGTGTATCATATGTGGGTACTGTACCTAATTCTCAAGGCCCCTAGACAGAACCACCAAAAGAGACTCTAGTGCAGAATGCACAGCCCAGATAGCAGATGGACCCAATGCAGCGAGGCCTTGTGTTGAGACTCTTAAACCCTAGACCCGGAGCCCTAAACCCTAAACCCTACTTAGCATGGCCCCTGCACAAGGATGACCTGCTCAAATCGAGAAGTGTACCCCCAGGCATGTCGGAAAATCCCGAAGTGCTCGAAATGGCCGACTGCCGCTAAGTATGCACGAGGCTGAGGGCGTACCCGATTTGGTGTTAAGGGTCAACCCAACACGCCTGCTGCAAGTAAGGGTTTATGGTTTCGGGTTTGGGGTTGGGGTGACGGGGGTCCGGATGCAAAAAAGGGTTTAGGGTTTAGGGCAATCCTATGGCAGACCCTACCGAAGGTAGGGCACCGCTTAACCCATGTCTCTTGCCTACAGCCCTGCGGAGTCGTGAGTTACGAGGGTAGCAAAGAGCACCCTGAACCTAAACCTCAACCGCCCCAAACCCTTAAAAGCCCTAAACCCGAAACCCCACACCCTCAAAAGCCCAAAACCCTGTAAACCTTAAACCCCGAACCCTTAAAAACCCCTAAACCCTAAACCCCAAACCCGAAACCCCAAACCCTGAAAAGCCCTAAACCCTACACCCCTAAACCCCAAACCCCAAACCCTGAAAAGCCCTAAACCCTAAACCCCAAACCCCAAACCCCAAACCCTGAAAAGCCCCAAAGCCCAATCGAGAGCGCTGCAGCAGTGAGGCCATGCTCTGGTCCATCAACCGACTCATTGTCGGCTACCAGGGCAGGCCAGGTAGGGTTTAGGGTTTAGGGTTTAGGGTTTAGGGTTTAGGGTTTAGGGTTTAGGGTTTAGGGTTTAGGGTTTAGGGTTTAGGGTTTAGGGTTTAGGGTTTAGGGTTTAGGGTCTAGGGTTTAGGGTTTAGGGTGTAGGGTTTAGGGCTTGCCTAGACAGAAAGTTTGTCAAAGTTGTTTTAAGCTAACTTCAGGACTCTGGGTTCAAAATAAGGGTTTAGGGCTTAGGGTTTAGAGGTGCATACGTATTAGGCTTCATAGGGTTTGTTGGTCTGATAGGGCTTATAGGGTCTGTAGAGGTTATAGGTTGTTTGTTGAGCTTCTGTAGCTCACAGGGTTTCTCGTGTTTGTAGGGTTTATAGGGTTCAGGGCAAGGTTTATCGAATGAGTTCGCCCATGTGGCCCTCAGGTTGCCCCATCAACCCTCAACAAAGTCTGACTTCAGGGATAGTTTAGGGCGTTTAATGTTTGGAGTACACCCTTATACTAACAGCCCCTAAAAGGGATTATATTGGAGGGTACTATAATCCCTATTCAGGACTGTTAAGTAGAATGGGGAACATCCCAAGTTTGATGTTTGGGGTAAACTTCACCCTAAACCTTGTTGACGTCTTTTGTGTTCGCTCCGCCCTCTGAAGTGCACGTGGTGTTGCTGCTGAGATGAGTTCAAACAGCTGAGATTCAGGGTTCAGTGTTTAGGGACGTCTTGGGTGCAAAGGGCAGCATGGAAAGCAAGTCGGTATGAGGACCCCCCAGGGTTCTCTGCATGTTCTGTTGGAGAATTGGGGTGGCTGCCCTTTCTCGGATGCAGTGGCACGCTCCGCGCAGGGCCGCAAAGCAGAACCTCGAGGCGAAGGTCAAGGCCTTCATCCGGATGAGGTGCTGAATCGGGGACTTCTATTTGGGTTCATATATATATATATACATATGTATACGTATTTGTATTTAGATTTTCTTTTTTTATATGTATTGTTTTTGTCTGTGTGTGTGTGTGTAAATTCAATACATAGACACAGGCCCTCATCATGATGAGGTGCCGCTTTGGGGGCGACTCTTGGTGCTTCGTAGCTGGGTAGGTAACCTTTAGCCAGATGGCTAAGAACGAGTGGCAAAAACAAACTACACCCTAAAGCCCTCCTAAAACACCAATCTAAGAACAACCCAAGACACCCTCAAACCCGTACCCCCTTAACCTATAAAGGGAGAATGTAGGAATTAATTTACCATAACCCTTAAATTTCTTTTTGGGGGGCATGCCTTGGTTGGGATGTTCGAACATCCCCCTTATTCCAATCGTCCTTAATAAGGATTATAATAGGGGGTTACTATAACGTAAACCCTAAACCCTAAACCCTTGCAAATTAAGGACTGTTAGCGTAAGGGAACATCCCAAGGTATGGACTTATGTGGCTTTGTTCGGTTTGCAGTGGGGTTTGCAACGGGTCTCATGTTTAGGGTTTAGAGGGCTTTTTGCAGGGCTCATGGGGGTTAAGGTTGATAGGCTTTGTAGGGTTGGATTTGTTTGGTTTTCTTGGGGTTGTAGAGTTTGCAGAGCTTATTGGCTTTTCGGCTCTGGGGTTGGGTGTATAGCTACAAACTGTTACAGAGAGTTTGTACGGTTTGTTGGGCTTGTGCGGTTTCAAATAAGAGTCCGTGCTTCAGTGCAAGGGGGAAGCTGTCCAGCAAGGACCAACAAGTAGCTTTGAGGATTGGAACTTCCATCTTGAGGATCTTGGTTGAGAACCTCAAGAGGTCAGCTGCACACTTTTGTACGAGGCACTTTGATTCGCATGGTTCACCTTTGTTGGTTTCAAACCGACAAAAAAAAACAGGTGTCAGACGACCTGGCCTAGAGCGCTAAGCTCCAAATCCTAGACCCCAATAATTATACTTTCCACACACGAAGCCCTCGTACGAGGGTTGATCTGCAACCTACGGCGTCACCACCTCTCCGGAGGATATGGGCACTTCCCAAAATAGCGGCTACCCCTTACTGTACTGTGCCCCCCCAAAATATTTTTATGCCTCTGAAACAACCTCATATTGTTTCACCCCTGCTGCCAGGTACAAACACGGCCTCTCGGCTGTTTAGCCTTGACTTCCGGAATAAGGGGCTCTCAAATATTGGTGCAATAGGGATCATCTGTTTGTCATGGCGCGGTAACATCTTACACTTTTAGGGGTACTTAAGCTCAATAAGGAATAGATGTTAAAATTTTGGATTTTTAATACTATCCCAACCGTGAACTAGATATAGCGTTCACCCCTTAATTCTACATTAAGAAGCAGTAAGATTCTTCACCTGTCGCTACTTCATGTGCGAGTCTTGCCCCAAGGTCTGCGCCCCAAAGCCCCGCACCCTACGCCTTCAGGGTTTAGGACTTAGGGTTTAGGGCGAAGCATATGTCCCTGCTTGCCTCGGTCCCTTTTCGAAGAGGGAAGGATCGTTGCGGTGGGATTTCAGATCTGGAAAGGGCTGCGGAGGACGAGTTCTCGGGCGAGTGTGTCCTGTCATGCTAGGGCAGAGTGTTGCTTAGAACTCAGGGCCTCGGGGTTTAGGGTTGAGGGTTTAGATAGTGGCATAGTGGCTTCCGAGAACAATCTCAGCCCCACAGCTTTCCATCAGAAACATGCGAGGAAAGGAGCTGCCAAGCAGCACTCTGCACTCCAACGCGGTCCTTTAACATCTTCATACTTCAGATGAACCTTCACCATGCCCCAAGCATCCCGAAATCCTAAACCCTAAACCCAAAAACATTAACCCTTAAACCCTAAACCCTAAACCCTAAACCCTAAACCCTAAACCCTAGACCCTACAGGCTGGGCACGTGTGGTTGACCGATATGGCGACGAGCGTGTTCACAAGATAACCACGGGGCGACCTCGGCCGGTTTAGGGCTTGTTTAGGGTTCTGGGAATCGCTCCTCCCTCTGAAACGTAGGGTTTAGGGTTTGGGGTTTAGGGTTCAGGGTTTAGGGTTTGGGGTTTAGGGTTCAGGGTTTAGGGTTTTAGTTGCGGCCTGTGGGGCTGAATCGCAACTGGATGTCGCCGAACGTCAAGAGACTCAGAGCCGTTTTGGGACATGGGGGTTTACGAACTAGGGGACCCCCAATATAGACCCCCAATAGTAGGATTCCCTTATAAGAAGGCCCCAATGAGGCACCCCCTAATTTCGGAAACCCCCACATGGTCTGCACCCTGGACTTTAGCAGATTGTAAGGGCAAATACATCAGATGCATCTTCTAGATGGTAAGAGGAATGCGTCTTAACTGTTTGAGGATGTTGGGGGCTTTGATCCTAGGTAGGATAGGGGGGACCCTTAAAGGGGAGCCCCTTCTGAACCCTCTTCTGGCTCTCTTAAGAGGGTCTTTATCCCCAAGGGTCCCCCTAATCCTATCCCCTATTTGAGGGCATTATCAGGGGGGCTTGGTGCGTATTGACCTCGGTGAGGAGCCTCAACTCCCCTTGTCCTTGGCCCATCTCTTTGGCAAGATGGCCAGGAGTTGGCCCTAAACCCTAAACCCTATAAACACTAGAACGGCAGAGAGAGAGAGAGATAAACACTAGAACCCAGCTGAAACCCTGACCCTCTTGGCGGGCTCAAGCTCGCCCCCTGATGTTAGGGTGTAGGGTTTCGGGTTTAGGGTTTAGGGTTTAGGGTCCTCAGCTTGCCAGGCGAATCGAGCCGTACATCGAGATTGACGAGAAAGTCCCAGTAGAGCTCAGGCGTGGCAGTGGCTTCAGACTTCCGCCGTATTGCGCCAGACTCCGGCCCGATATCCTTTTTGAAAGGCGTGTCCGCATCAACCCCTAACCCTAAACCTTAAACCCCAAACCCTAAACCCTAAACCCTAACCCTAAACCCTAAACCCTAAACCCTGAACCCCAAACCCTAAACCCTAGACCCTAAACCCCCAACCCTACCCACAACCCTCAAGAGCCTTAAGCCCTAAAGCCGTCCTCTGTAGCTTCTGGACTCCCGTGGACATGTGCCGACCAGGAACGCTGCGATGTTGGTGGCTGCCACGGACGCTGGAGAGGCGCACCAGGGGTTCGTCGGCAGGGAAGGAGGCCTAGGGTTCTTAGTAGGGAACTAGGGAGCCCTTGTTAAACCCTGAACCCTAAACCCGGAAGGTAGGGAATTAGGGGAAGGAGGCCCAGGGTTCTTAGTAGGGAACTAGGGAGGGAACCGAATTAGGTTCGCTGATAGGCCCTTGGGACATTGCTTATTTTCCCATATTTGGGTTTGTGGGATCATGTTTTAGGAATTTGTTCAGAAGGTTTTAAGGGACCATCCAAGGATTGCGGTATACACAGTGCGAAAGCCCTAACTATCCTAAGCCCTGATTAGGAAGTAGTGAAGAAGATGTGGGTGGCAAGTCCTTGTTGGTTGAGGAAGAAGGGAAAACCTTAAGGGTTTAGGGTTAAGGGTTGAGGGTTGAGGGTTTAGGGCTTCCTTAATTATAAGATAGTATAAGCACCCAAACCCACCGTTTGTCACAATGTCCTACACTCATGCAGGGAAGATAATGGCCATATTAGGGTATATTAAGGGAACCCCTTAGGGGTTTAGGTTCAGGGCTTAGAGCTTGGGTTTAGGGCTTAGGGTTTAGTGTGTAGGGTTTAGGGTTTAGGGTTTAGGGCAGGGTTCCGCGTAAAACCTCCCTCGATGCAGGCAGGCCCAGATGTGCCCAACGTGCGCCGGAAGATCTCTGGCCGGCCTCGCTGGAGCATCGCAACTTGGGTTTGGGGCCTCAGTGGGTTTTAGGGTTTAGGGGGTTTAGGGTTTTAGGGTTTAGGGGGTTTAGGGGGGTTAGGGGGTTGAGGGCATTGAGGGGGTTGAGGGGGTTTATGGGGGTTTAGGGTTTAGGGGATTCAGGCTTAGGGTTTAGGGTTTGCCCAGCCGCAGTCGAGTCCCTTGTGAAAAAGGGTTTAGGGTTTTAGGACGGTCGGGAGTAGCAAGCAATTAGGGATCAGTGCAAGAAGGGTGTCAGCAGAAGCAAGCCCTGAACTTGCTAGCTCCTTGTAAGAAACTTAGGGACTGGGGTACTTGATACCCCCTACAGCCGCTACATCTTAAGCATAACTGTTATAGTTTTTGGCAGATTAAATGGCGGGATATCTAACTCCCCCCAATCCCCCAGTGAGAACCAGTACGAAAACACAGGTAACCGGAACAGCCTGGTAAGCATCCTGCCTAAGGGCTAAGGTTTCAGCTGATGAATCTTTTCTTACTGTTGGTTAGCAGGGAATGGGCGAATGCGGTACCCTATATAACCTCTTTAAGGGTACTTGTATGGTCCTGATTCCCTCATTCCATGCAAACCAACAGTAAGCTTTGAGACGCCCAAGGCGCTAAACCCTAAACCCTAAACCCTAAACCCTGAACCCTGAACCCTAAACCCTAAACCCTAAACCCCACGCCCCTAAACCCCAAAATCCTCTTTTGAGGTCCCGCGCTGCTCAAACCCCAAACCCTAAACCCTAAACCCCAAAACCCTAAACCCCAAAACCCTAAACCCTAAACCCTAACCCTAAACCCTCCACAAGGTGGACTCAGAGAAGCGCTTCGTGACCCTTGCCGCTCGCGAGAGGCAGAAGGTGCGACCGAGGGAGGGTCTTTGGGGTTTAGGGTTTTGGGTTTAGGGTTTAGGGTTTATGTTTTAGGGTTCAGGGTTGATGCTTTGCGGCTTTGAGGCTATAAGGGTTGAAGGTCGGGGGGGGGGGAGGGGGGGTTGGGTTTACCGTTCAACTTGCTTGATCTCGTCTTTTGGGGATTGGGGGGAAGTCGGGTATCTTCTGAACGATCTTGCGAATCTCCTATGGAGAGCCAGTAAGCTAAACGGGTCAGGCCCTCAGTGGTTGTCGGGTTTGTTTCAATCTAGGTCATAGTGACGTAGTTTAAGTTCCCTAGCAAGCACCCGAGCATCAGAAAGCCTTGTGAAAAGGGAGTAGGGAGTTTATAGGTCAGGCCATCGGGGTGCCGAAAGTTTCATGGGCTACCCCGACAAAAAAGATGCTGAGAGGCCCTGGAAGCTGCCAGAGTCAAGGCACTTCAGGCGCAGGGCAAGGGCAGGCTTTAGGGTTTAGGGTTTAGGGTTTAGGATTTACGGTTTACGGTTTACGGTTTAGGGTTTATTTGGGGTTCTTGAACCCTCGCATGTCAGGGGGGGTGGGGGGGGGGGGGTGAATCGCGGTTTAGGGCTTAAGGGCTTTGGGGTTGAGGGCTTAGGAAGTCATGGATTTGGGGTTAGGGCTTAGCAAAATGGAAGTCATGGATTCAGAGTTTAGGGCTTAGGAGGGTGGAGGGTTTGGGATTCACAGGTTTTTCAAGGGACTTCCAGGAGGGACCCTTGCAAGGGACCTTAGGGGACTTAGGTATATAGGGGCTAAACCCTAAACCCTAAACCCTAGGCATATATGAGGGTTATATAGGGGAATAAGGTTAAGTGTCCTTTCTAGGAGTCCCTCTCTACCCGGGTCGGCATCAGGAGGGTTCAGGAGGGTTTAGGGTTGGTCGAAATCCTACACCCTAAACCCGAAACCCTAAACCCTAAACCCTAAACCCTAAACCCTGGAAGGGTGATCGCATTGGGGTCTGCTAGGCGGGTGGCAAAAAAAACCCTGGAAGGAATGGTTGCTTTGGGGCTTCAGGTTTGGACAAACCGGGGAAAGGCGGCAGCAGAAGAGGACGAAGGTGGCGTCCAGGCCCGATTGCGCGGGCACCAAGCAGAAATGCCCAGTGCTGGAGGATGTAGGGTTTAGGGGGTTCTGGGTTTTTGGGGGTTTCCGAAATTCGGGGTACCTTATTGGGGTCCTGATTATAAGGGAATCCTACTACTGTTTTGGGGTCCCCCATATTCGCAAACCCCAATGTCGGGCTTTGGGGACATAAAGCTGGTGCCGGAAAGCTCACACTTTCAAAGAAGCGCAGGCTTCAACCCGTTTGCAATCCCAAGACTGATACTATCCAACTGCAGACTTTGCAAAATCAGGCGGAGTAGATATGGGGCCTGCGTTTTTGCAGACCACGAGGTCAACTATAACTAACACTTTCATGGCCCCTTACGTAGGAACCCTGCAAACCACCCAGGTCGTTCCCCCGCCTCCCCACATCACTTGGTAGCCCAGTGTTACCCTTTACCCTTTTTTGGTTATGGGTTCCCTTATAAAATAACCAACCCAAAAAAAGGGTGCCGTTATTGTAATATGGTTACTGGCTACCAAGATCATGACAGGCTCTCAACGTCAAATGCCTGGAAGGAAGGGACCTGCGCATTTCAAGCCTTGCCATCCAATCGCACAGCACGATGCACTCAATGACCTCGACAAGCCCTGACCCCTAAACCCCAAGATCCCTAAACCTTAAGATCCCTGACCCCAAGAACCCTAAAACCCTTAACATCCCTACTCCCTAAAATCCTGAAAATTCCTAAACCCTAAGATCCCCAAACCCAAAAATGCCTAAACCCTGAAATTCCCGAGCGCCTCATCCCTATACCCCCTAAAATTCCCGAGGCCCTAAACCCCCTAAACCCTAAACCCTAAACCCTAAACCCTAAGCCCTAAACCCTAAACCCTAAACCCTAAACCCTAAACCCTAAACCCTAAAGAAAGTTGGGCCCGGCCCAGGCCGGAGCCGCGCGAAGCCGCGGAGCTCTCGGAGGGGTTTTCAGGGGGACCATCAGGGCCCTAAGGCTTTGAGGGTTGTTTAGGGTTTAGGGTTTAGGGTTAGGGTTTAGGGTTTAGGGTTTAGGGTTTAGGGTTTAGGGTTTAGGGTTTAGGGTTTAGGGTTTAGGGTTTAGGGTTTAGGGTTTAGGGTTTAGGGTTTAGGGTTTAGGGTTTAGGGTTTAGGGTGTGTAGGTAGGATAGGTCTGGATTCAAAAAAGGGTCCAAGTTTTTCATTTTTTCCCAAAGAAGGCCTTAGGGTTTTGGGATTTAAGATTCGCAAAGATCTGCGTAACACCACCGCCAGATCGGCTCGCTTTATAGGGTTGTGGCAGAGTCTGAGAGGGTTAGCATACCGTGCCCTCAGCATGGTTTTTGGCCTTTTCGAATTTTGAGGTTTTACCTGAATTGAGCTTATGCTGTCGAGCAGTTGGGGAAGGCGCCAGGGATCATGTTCAGCAGTACCTTCCACAGGCATGGCTCTCGAACACTGTGACCCAAACCCAGGGCCCGTGGTTGAATGAGGTTCACCGGCTCTTGGTTCAATGTTCAGTCCTAGAAAGCTCGCTCTTCAGCTTGAACAGCACAGTCTTGCCATGCAACCCAATGCTCTTCACGCAACATCCAGTTGCATCTGGAGCATGGTTTGAGGTCGATCTCCAGCGCGACATGAAGGCGACGCGCTCACCAGAAGCTGCTGGAGGTCGTTGAAGTAGCAGCGGTTTCACCGGCGCGCAGACGCTTGCGCAGGGAGCATTCTAGGGATCCCGGAGGAGGGACTTGGGGAGGTTTGTATGTCTATGGCGGTTGAGGCGGCATCAGTTTGCTGTTAAGGTGCATGGTTCAGGATTTCGGATTTCGGGTTTAGGGTAAAAATACTTCCTGAGTCAATATACCGACGTACTTCCATGAGCCCTTTGACGGTCCCCAAGATATGTACTCTTGAGCTGAGCGAGCGCCCGCCTCGCTACCGAAAAGAGAAGAGATAATGGATCTTGCATTGCAGAAGGAAGGTTGGGATGTTCCTCCTTATACAACAATGGTGGGGGGGGGTGGTGGGGGGGGGGGGGGGTGGTGGGGGGGGGTGGGGGGGTGGGGGGGGGGGGGGGGGGTGGTGGGGGGGGTGGGGGGGGGGGGGGGGTGGGGGGGGTGGGGGGGTTGGGGGGGGGGGGGGGGGAGGGGTGGGGGGGGGTGGGGGGGGTGGGGGGGCGGGGGGGGGGGGGGTGGGGTGGGGGGGTGGGTGGGGGGGGGGGGGGTGGGGGGGGGGGGTGGGGTACGATAATCCCTTTTAAGGAGTGTTACAGGGGGAACATCCCAAAAGGAAGGTTTAAAGGTTCAAGGTTGGGACTTAGGAACTGATAAAGATTGCAGCTTCGGGAATGGACACGGAGAAAGGCAAAGCTCATGATTACGGTTCCTTGGGCCAAATTCACCTTCAAAATTTGTGGTTTCTGCACCCTGAAAGACGACTATGAACCCCTACCAGGGCATGTTTACCGTGTAACTCCAAACCCTGAAACCCTTACATCAACCCTTCGGTAAGGTTCATTTCGTCTCCGAGGTTGGCTAAACTTGACACTGGCGCTGCAACACCCCACCCCATAAAAGTTAAGGGTTCAGCGTTTTAGGATTTTACGGCTTAGGGCCTAGGGCTAGGGCTTGGGGGTTGAGACTCTATATGGTAGTTCCAACCCTAACCCCTATTTTGGAGCAGGCCCGTGAAAGAGAGGGCACCCTTCGGGCAAAACACCCGCAGTGCGCAACAGGGATGGGCGTTTCGACACACAGCTTCCAGGACAGCTTCGGAATCTGCCGCAGCTCCGCAGCCTTACTCCGGGCATGTGAGCAATTCTTGAGCACTAGAACGGCGACGCACTGTGAATGCCATGTATCCGGAGCCGTTCCACAGCTTCACCCCATAAACCCTAAGCCCTAAGGCCCTAAGCCCTAAACCCGCAGGCTCTGAGACTTGTTTGTTGTTCTTTAGTTGAGAAGTGGCAGCGGCCAATGGATCCCGGAGGCTGGGCTGTGCCAGGCGCCACAGTGGGATTCGTCAGCTTCGATTCAGGGGTTTAGGGTTTAGGGTTTAGGGTTTTTGGGTTTAGGATTTAGGGTTTAGGGTTTAGGGTTTAGGGTTTAGGGTTTATGGCATCCGGAGTTTGGGGGGGGGGGGGTGCAAGGCGTTCCGGAGTTTGGGTGTTTCGAGTGGCGCATGTGATTTGAGAGCACATCCGAGCATGGACGAGGGAGCCTGATTTGCATTGGTCTCTCATGCAAATCAGACGACCTGTCAAGCGGCAGCCGGCATGTAAATACCCCGCCTCGGACCAGGCAGCATCTGCGGCTCCCAGCGTTATTTGGACATCTCTGCAAAGCAGACGAAGTCATTTTCAGCTGCAGCGTGCCGCCATGGCCACCAAGACCTGGACCAGCGTCTCTGCGATCGGCCACTTATCCTTAGGCCGGACGGGGGGGGGGGGGAGCATCCGTTTCTAGTAACAAAAAGCTTCCTTCACGTTTCTTTGTGGTGGTTGGGTGGTGGTTTGCTCATGGAGAGAGGTCAGAACGTGCTCTTCTACTTGGGCGATGCGAAGGACGGACCGCTCTCTCTCTCTCTCAGCCGTTGCGGCCCTGCCCTCTCCCCTGCTCCCCTGTGCTGACTTGGCCAGCCCCGCGTGCCAGTCTAGGTTTCTGTACGCCCTAATCGAAAGAAGCTGTTTTGGCTTGCCAAAGAAAAAGAACCCCAAATTCGCGCTCGTGCACATGGAGAAGCACTACAAAGAGGTCAAGGAAACGACATCAAGACTCATCTTCAAAAACGGCAGCTATGTCTCTCTCGAAGCAATTCGAAATCCTCGTAATCTTTCTTCCCGTCATTTGGGGAAGTTGCAATCGACTTCTTAACTTGCAATTTGTTCAGGCCATGTAGGTCCATAAGGAGCTCCCGCAAGGCCCGGATTCCGCACCCTCAGCTTCTCTCTCTGCTGTCTTGTAAGGTGTGTGTGTGTGTGTGTGTGTGACGTGTGCACGGCTTTTCCCTAGTCAACCAAAGTATGGAGGAATGCGGCATAAAGCATCATACTCCAGGCGTGCATATGCGGGCATCAGCCCCTAGCACCTCGCAGAATCGGAAGGAGTGGGTGGCCGGCATCGTCCGCTTTTTGGGGACCACAGACTTCATAGAGGGCGAGTGGATTGGACTGGAGCTCAAGGACCCATAGCCTGTTGCGGTGGTCGGGCATTATGTGCCTGGCCATAGCCCTTGGTCCTTTAATTTCCCTAAGTTTTCAGCCTTCTGGGTAGTGTGCGCATGACATGTCGGGTGCAGGAGGCACACGGCAAGAACGACGGGGAAGTCAAGGGCAAGCGCTACTTCACTTGCCAGCCCGCGACCTGCAATCCAGGGATTCAGGGGAGGTGCTAGACGTCCTCTAGGGGTCCTCGGAAGCCTGCTGGAGCCGAAACCACCCCAACCCTACAGTTAGCACTCAATTGTCAGGCTTTACCTTCAACCCAACCCTAGAAATTCTCAACCCTCAACCCTTGCAAGCCCTAAATCCTACATTTGGGGCAGCGCGCCCGCGAGCTCGCGGAACAAACAAAAAGGCCGAAGCACGGGGTCTTCACCAAGCCCGGGATGGTGAGGGCAGCGCTGGCGCGCGGCGCTGAGTTTGCATGCCTTAGCACTTGCAGGTCGTTTTTCAACGGTGGAGAGTCTGTGCACTTCTTATTATATATGACTGCGTGTTTGTACAGAGAGAGAGAGGGAGAGAAAGAGAGACTTGCAAGGTGGGAAGCTCCCATAGGGGCCGAGATGGGTTTGGCTTCGTGGGATGCTGCACAGAGTGTGGGGTGCAGCCCTAAACCCTAAACCCTAAACCCTAAACCCTAAACCCTAAACCCCAAACCCTAAGCCCTAAACCCTAAACCCTAAACCCTAAACCCTAAACCCTAAACCCTAAACCCAGGGGTGCTCACACCAGGGCTCCATTGACAGGGAAGGTATGCCAGGCCTGGACCTGCACTGCCAAGGCAGTCGAGGACAACGACCCACCGCAAGCAGAAGCGCACGGGGCGCCTGAGGCCGCTGAGCTTAGGGTTTAGGGTTTAGGGTTTAGGGTTTAGGGTTTAGGGTTTAGGGTTTAGGGTTTAGGGTTCAGGGTGTCCATATTTAAGGCACGAAGGTCGTTCATGCCATGAACATGCCATCGGCCCTTGCAAGAGAGTGCTGGATCTGCCATCCCAGGCCCGAGATCGTTGTCGCAGAAGAAGGGCCACCAGCGAATCAGACGCCGCCCCCCGATCTGCACTCTGAACCATCACAGTCGCCAGGAGCAGTTCAGAGCATGCTCCCTAGCTGCAGTACCATAACCCTCAGGTTCGAGTCATGATCCACGTCCTACATCAATCACTCTTTCTCAGAGTTCTTTTCCCTCGGCAGCTTACAGGTTTACAGGGTTGGCTTTAGCTGGCAGTACACATCTTGTGGTTTGAATTGAACCCTAAACCGGAATGTCAGACAACCCGAGGTCAGGTTGCGAAGATTTAGGGTATGTCGGGGTATTCAGGGTATTTTGGGGTATTTAGGGTATTTAGGGTGTTTAGGGTATGTAGGTTATGTAGGGTATGTAGGGTACGTCGGGTGTGTGGGGTTTAGGGCGAAGTCTCTTGGATCAGTGTTTATGGTTTAACATGTCAATTCATATTATATATATATATATATATATATATTGTACGTAAAGCCTTCAAACGGTCTTTGGGGGAGCTTTGGGGGCTTCCGCTTTTTTACAGCTTCGCCAACCTTAAACTTCAAACCCTAGTAAAGGCCACATGATAAACCGAAGATGCGTCTCTGAGGCCCCTGCAAGCGAAGGCGAAGAAGAGGGAGCTCATCGACCTGCTCGGGGGAGAGGTCCAGACTGCTTGCTCGCTTGTGTGCGCATGCCCTCGTGCTAATGTCAAGCCCAATACGCCCTGTGTGACCTTTAGGGTTTAGGATTCAGGGGTAACAAAGGGGGATGTGTAACCCAACGTTCCCTAATACTCTCCACTGCTCCCTATAAGGCTCCCTAAGCTTCCCGGTACCTACCCCCATGAACCCCCTCCCTGAAGGACCCTATAGCTTGTGTGCGAATGCCCTGGTGCTTCTTTCAGCCTCACAAAGCCGTGTGATGTTTAGGGTTTGGGTTTAGGGTCCATAGGGTTTATGTAGGCCTAGGGTTTATAGGCTTGTAGGTGGTATAGGATTTAGAGGGTTTAGAGGCTCTAGAGGGTTTGGAGGGTTTAGGGGCATATGTAGCGCGCGTGAAAAAGGCCTTTGTGGGGGCTCTGCTAGGACGAAGTGGCAAAGCACAAGAAGGCGTCCAGAGACGTCCAGCAGAAGGTGGGGGCATGCCCCCAACTCCACGGCAGCCTCGAACCGCTGAACATCTCCGAAGCCCAAGCCTAGAGTATAAGCCCCAACAAAGCAAAGCTTCAGCTCTAAACCTTCCAGCCCAGAGCTCCTGAAGCACTGTAAACCCTAAACCCTGAACCCTGAACCCTAAACCCTAAACCCTAAACCCTAAACCTTAAACCCTAAACCCTAAACCCTAAACCCTAAACCACCGAGAGGTGAATCAGATGCTGAAAGAAGGAGAGGACCCAGCCAGTCAGCCCGCCATCTTTCAAGGCCGGCGCGCTGTCTTGGGGCTAAGAACTATTGGATTCAGGGTGTACTGGGGTCTAGGGGTTTAGGGCTTAGGGTTTAGGGATGTTTAGGGTTTAGGGTTTAGGGTTTAGGGTTTAGGGGGGTTGAGGGAGGTTTAGGGGGGTTAGGGGGGTTAGGGGGGGTTTAGAGAAGTTTAGGGGGTCTAGTCGGGTCTAGGGGCTTTTCGTCTCGTATTCAGTTGGATCGACTCCCTCGACTGGGTGTGATAGTGGGTGTCCTGCTAGTCCTTGTGCGATTTCGTGCGTGTGGGGTAGCTGCTCCGCAAAATTGGGAGGTATCGGCCTGCAGCGCATGCTGCACATGGCGGAGCACTTTAAGCAGGAGTTCGACAAAATCTGCTGGGAGTTAGAGAAACGGCTCAAGGACCCGCAACGTACAGCGCTTCGCTGCAGTAGCATCCGCAGGGCATTTCGGTGAGAGAGTGGTATAAGAGTTCCTTCATACAGGTTCTTGTGCGTGTGGTGTTCCAAATAAGAATGAAGTTTAGCAGTGCCCGCAAAATGAGGGCCGAATCACATATCTGAGTTATGATCAGTTATATGGTACTTTACAACCGTGGGTTTCGGGATGTTTTTGAAGTTCGCTTTGGAGAAGGTAATCAGGGCATGCAGTACGCAGTGCCTCCACATGCAGGACCACCACGACGTGTCCTACACCGCTGCACCCATCAAGTCGTTTGCCTCTGCCTCCAGCAAAGTCAGCACGGAGTACCACGGCAACTGCACGCAGCTGAAAGACGTTGTGCGCGGCACCATGGTCATCAACAGCACGGAGGAGCACCCACCGAGCTTGCGCGATGCCTACGACATCCTCCGAAAGCTCGTGGCTGCGGACGACATTCTTCGCAAGGTCAACGCCAGATTCAGTCGTTTCAGCGACCGATATCAGAAGCCGGTCGGGGCCTCCAAGTGCCTCGGCCAGGTGTAGCAGGTCCCGGTTTTTGGCTCCGCTTGACTTGGAGTAGAAGATTCTGTGAGCTTGCCATGGCAAGTATTGGTTGCTGGCTTCCGATCCCAGGTACAGAGACTGGCTGTTCCTCATCAAGGTTGGGGACTTCATCTGCGAGCTGCAGGTGAACTTCAAAGAGGCGGTGGAGGCGAGCAGGGGGCCTTTAGAGAGTCTTTAGAGAGGGTGGAGCCTCTACTGGGCGGGGGGGTTGTGTTGAATCCGGGATCGGCTAAACAAGCCTGTCAGGTAAAGGAAGCTGAGCAGCACAAGGACTACGAAATGGAGCGCCTTGGAACGCGCAAGCTGCTTGAGGCATCCATGAGCAACGACCCGAGCATGGTCCAGCTGCTGCCCCTTACTTGCGCCAGCACATGGGCAGTTTCTTAAGTTATTTGCCATTTTGGGGCACCCATTTTTAGGCGGCACTTGTAAAAAGAGATCTCATGAAGGGACCCTATTTTGGAGAACTACCCACATGCAAGGCAAGTTGAGAGGTTAACCATTGGGCATGTTCAGGTCTAGAAGTCCTAGATGCGCATGCTCTTCAGCCGATTTCTTTCACCACATTCATTGCCGTTTCGCACCTGCAGTTGAAACCACTCATGGTCATCGTGCCGTAAAGTTCAGCCTTTTCAGCGCAACGGTTGCGGGATGGTGTAAGCATGCACATGAATGCTGCAAGTAATTATAATAGACAATTGTCAGCCATTGCTACTGAAGGTTGTCCTCCGGCAGAGTCCACCAGAAGACGATGGCGAACACGAGAGACTGCCATGGGTACACGCCCTTGCATTACGCGGCCAGGCGCTCTTTGGTTTCTCACTGGTGCTGATTCAAGGTACAACCGTAGACCCTATACTTTGGCCTAAATAATTCCCAAACTGCGTGACGCTACACTCCCAGATGACTTCCAGGGGTGAGGTGTCTCACGGATGGCAATTGGTGTTGCCAAACCTGACAAGCCGAATTCCATGGAATGCCAGCACCAACAACAGCACCTCGACCCCGCAGCCCGTATTAATGACCTCAGCCATCTACAACCCAATTCTGCGTCTCAATCCCTGGAAAAGAAGCCCTCGGGCCTTAAGCGCGCCTTCTTCTGCTGCACGGGGCCCTGATCCTCAACTCATGACATCCGATGTTCTCTTTGGCATTTCCTCCCGCATGTTACACATCCGGGGGAATGCTCCCGAGCACCGGTCGCACACACCCGCTCGTGCACCCTATCGGGCCCCAGACCGCCGCCTTGGAGTGATATTATACATGATTCTATTGTGTGTGTATATATACACATGCTTTGAGGCTTACTAAGCCCCAAACAGTATGTGTATATAGTGTGGTTTTACCGTACATACGTAGCATCGATTGGCTGTAGGACCCGGGTGCCTTTCTCCGACCCCCAAAGAAAGCGCCGAGCTCTGGCGAGGCATGGGTCGATGGCTATGCTGGAGCATCTGCTTCCAGCCGGCGCGGACGTCCTCGCGCTGGACCGGGAAGGCTTCCCGGCCATCCACCACGCCCTTCAAGCGAGCCATCCTAAAGTCACGGAGCGGCTGCTGGACGAGATGCTGAAGCTCCCAGCCGCCAAGCTGCGCAAGGAACCGCTAGCAAGCAGGATTCAAGGCGTCTGGGGCGCCGCGCACCAGGCTAGTAATCCTGCGATGCAGGGCCTGGTCGAACGGTTCACTGAACTCGCCAAGAAGTGCTACACTGTGGCAAGCGTGCACCTCCACGCCATCGCACACAGCGGCGACGTATCGGCCATGCGGGCTGCTTTCGCGAGGCTCCCACCAGAGTATGTGGTGTTGGGATGGGACGTGAGAGGCTATGATCCTGTGGAGGGCGGTGACACAGAGATGCTTGACTTGGCAATCCTCAGCGGTTCGGCGGCGATGGCCAAAATGGTCCAGGACCCGGAGGTCCACGAGGGCGATCTCCAACTGGGGTGTATCCATATGCACAAGGACCCGCAGCAGATCCGGAAAGCGGTGCGGCACGGGCAGGTGGCCCGGTTCCGCGCCTACCACAAAGTGAAACCCCCGGATGCTGCGACCATGGCCGCACTTCTCGTGGAGGCCTGCGAGACGGAGCAGCTTCAAATGGCCTTCGAGCTGTGGACGCTTGGGGGCGACAGCGTCCAGGAGGCTCTGGGCACGGAGGCAAAGGAGAAGCTCGCAGAGCTCGGGGGTCGGGCCGCCGCCCTGGGACACGTGGACTACCTGCAGCTGCTGGTGGACGCGGGAGTCCCACTGGACCACTGCATGGAGGGCTCGAGGTCCATGATCATACGCGCGGCCAGTGCTGGCCGGACGCAGGCTGTGGAACTGCTGGCCACTGCGAGGGCCGACCTGACGACGGCGCTGCCTGAGGCCATTGGCTGCGGGCACGGCGCAGCCGCGGAGGCGCTGCTGCGCCGCAGGGCCGACCCGCACGAGACCTGGGGAGACGAGCCGTGGGAGTCCGTCGTGGGCCAGGCGATCATGACCAACCGGCCAGAGATGCTGCGGCTGCTAGCGGATCACGGGGCTGAGAGTTACACGCAAGAGCACCTCGTTTTTGCCGAAGAAGAACAGGCGGCGGAGTGCCTCGAGCTCATGCGCAGCCACCGGGCAAAGGGCACACAGCTAGAGGACCAGTGAGATGCTGAGAATTGTTTGTTCAGAACCATATATGGCTGTATGTAGGCACGATGTGATGTTAATGCACCCAAGGAGGCTTTGAGTTCGGGCTCCCAGCCCTGCTCCCCTGAGGAGGGGCTGACAGGGGCTTGGGACCGGATGTTTCAGCTTAAGACGTTTAGTTTCCTGTCCCGAGATGGGGCTGCATGTTTGGCAAGGGACACTTAACTGCGCACATATAGCGGTGGTCTCAATTGTTACTGGATGTTATCGGTTCATTCATTGGCTAAATATTGATTTGGTCTCAATTGTTGTTCAGTCATTGGCTAAACATTGATTCAAGAAATCATGTTGGGTTTTTCATGTTAAACCTTTGTAACATGTCATTTTGCTTCTTTGTTGAATAACCATTTGTAACTTCCATTCTGACTGATGAGATAGCACGCAGGAATTTCAACATAACTGAGTTTCGCACATGTGCATGTATGTTTTATGTTTACCGCTCTTTTGCTGTTCTTTTGAGGTGTTTGACATTTTTTTGCTTTTGAATTAGACCCAAGCAAGTTTTTTTTACATATAACTTCTTCTGAAATTTCAGATGTAGAATATAATAAATAAACAAATAAATAAATATAAATGTAAATATATCTATATATATATATATGTATGTATATGAGAGAGAGAGAGAGCATATTCTGTCTGGCTGATTACAAAGGGACGGTAGAGCAGCGCTCCGAAGAGTTTAGCATCACGTCCCGAATCCTGTAGTGGACCCGTGCTAATTCTGCAGCCTGTCGATCGGGCACTGCGTGCCCAATGAAAGCCGCATCGCCCTGAGTGATCCTATAGGGGGGCTTTTCCGTCGCGCTCGCAAGTCTGTTGCCTGAGCTTGCGGCAGATGAGTGCAATACAATGCCGCTCTTGCGCCTCTTGATTCGATCCTGGCTTTTGCCAAGCAAGCCTGAGAGCCCGAAAGCTAGATCGGGGATCACGGCAGAGCAGCTGTCAGACAAACATGTTCAGCCTGCATCCACACACAGCTATGCTAAATGCCGCGAGTCTTCTCTTCTTCCGACACCAAGTTGTTCTGTAGCAGCTCTACAATGCTAGACCTCCAGCGGGCCTAAATCCCAAACGTTGTTAGAGCTTGCGCGGGACCAAGATCCTTGAGCTTCAGAGAGTCAGGTATCGTCAGGTGCCCTGTAGGACCCAAGTTTTCCAGAGGCTTTTCTGGGGGGATGTAGGGCAAGTCTCGAATTCACTACCAAGAACTCGTAAGACAAGGCTTTGTAGCATTGTGCGGCGTCAGCTCTGAGCTTTCGCGCCCTGCACGTTCAGTGAAGCCCTAAGCCTTGAGTCCTGGAGCCGAATTTCTTTAGGGTTTAGGGTTTGGGTTTAGGGTTTGTAGGGTTTATAGAGTTGATAGGGTTTGTAGGGTTTATAGGGTTGAGAGGGCTTAGGGTTTAGGGATTGGGCCCTCCCTGGAAACCTCTGACAAGCACCACCCTATGAGCCCACAGTCAGAGGCGAAGTTCCGACGTAATCGCAGCCGAGCACTCAGACTCAAACCTTGGCGGGGGGCTTGTTATTTGTTCATTAAACCCCTAAACCCAAACCCTAAACGGTTATTGTTTGTTGCGTTAAGTGGATATGGGCTTCAGGTCTGGAGCTTTGACGTTGGGGGCTTTTCTGGCTTGGGTGTTTGGGGTGTGTAAGGTTTTGATGGGGGGGGCCCATCATTGGCCCTCGGACCTTCCGCAACATGAGAGGTCGGTGGTAGGAGTTTTGGAAGTAAGGTGTGTGGGGCCTGATGATGAGCATGTGGACTTGCCCTGGCCGCCGATTTGAGAGAGTCCTCCTAGAAACCACAGTGCCAAGCAATTCAGCACAGTTCTGGGATAGGGTCATTCACCCTGGACTCTGCTGATTTTACTTCATGGTGTTGCGGTTGAGGCTGCAAAGTATTCTGCATCGTTAAAAAAATGTTTGTGAGTTAGCGCCTCTTATAATGGAGTCTCTACGACCTGCTTCGCTTGTATCCCGATAATGAGCAACAGGCAACCAAGGACGTCCCGCATCTACAGATACCAAGCCACACCTAATGCAAAGGGTTTAGGGTTTTGGGTTTACTCAGGGTTGAGTGGGATTCAACACCGTCGGTTTTTTTGTTTAGAGGCACTGCCCTCAACATCTACCCCTCTCAACAGACTTTGTCTATGTGCAGTCCAGGGTTGCGGCAGTGGCAGAGTCCGAGAGGGTGAGCATCGATGCTCAGGGACCGTTTCACAAACCGTGCCCGAAGCATAGCTCAGGATTTGGGGGGTCAACCTTACAGTGGGAAAGGCACAGGAAATCATGCTGACAGTCAGAAAGCTTCATCCGCGCAGCCGTGCTGCACAGGCATGTTTTTTGAACACAGGGGTCCAAATTCGGGCCTGTTGTTGAGTATTTAGTGCTAGAATCTCGCTGTTCAGCTTGGCTCGTACAGTCTTGTCATGCAATCCAGTGCGGTTCACGCAACATCCAGTTGCATGTGGGTCCTTCGAGGTCGGTCTCGAGCGTGACATGAGGTGACACGCTCAACAGAAGCTGCTGGAGGTCGTTGAAGCAGAAGTTTCACCGGCGCGCATATGCTTGTGTGCAGGGAGCAGTATGAAGATCCCGAAGTAGGCAGAGTTTTTTCAGGGGGCTCCAAGTTGCTCAATCTATCGTAGCTTTACCTTAAGTTATAAGGCTCCGGGCCAAAGAATTTGGAATCTATATATGGCGGTTGTGGCGGCATCAGTGGAACTAAGAAATTTTAATATGGGTTCTTCCTGAGTCCATGTACCCCGACGTACCCTATGAGCCCATGGCCCCGCAAGAAGCTCTCGAGCTGAGTGAGCGCCCGCCTCGCTATACCGGAAAGAAAGGGAGCTGCGCGGAGCTTGCGTTCAAGAAGGGAGGGCTTAAAAGGTTCAAGGTTCGGACCTGTCAGGACTGCTTTAGAGCAAGACTACTATGCTCCCCTACCAGGGCATATGGACCACAATTCTAAACCCCAAAACCCTGTAAACCCTTTAGCGTTGATATGGTCTAGGTTGGG